GGGGTGCGTAGAGGCCACAAATGAATTCCCTGAAGAGTTCAACTCATTACATTCAGTATCCAGTGAGAAAAGAAAACTTTTTGTTGTTTTTTAAAATGCCCCAAAAACTTCAACGTTTTCCATAGCCGGCATCATCGAAAAAGTCAGTTTTTCACCCAAAAATCCAACTTTACCAAAATTGCTCAAAAGTTCACACGAGGTGCCTAGAGGCCACAAATGAATTCCCTGAAGAGTTCAACTCATTAAATTCAGTATCCAGTGCAAAAAGAAAACTTTTTGATTTTTTACAAAATTCACCCAAAACTTCAACGTTTTCCATAGCAGGCATCATCGAAAAAGTCGGTTTTTCACCCAAAAATCCAACTTTACCAAAATTGCTCAAAAGTTCACAAGAGGTGCCTAGAAGCCAGAAATGAATTCCCTGAAGAGTTCAACTCATTACATTCAGTATCCAGTGAGAAAAGAAAACGTTTTGATTTTTTACAAAATGCCCTCAAAACTTCAACGTTTTCCATAGCCGGCATCATCGAAAAAGTCGGTTTTTCAACCAAAAATCCAACTTTACCAAAATTGCTCAAAAGTTCACAAGAGGTGCCTAGAAGCCAGAAATGAATTCCCTGAAGAGTTCAACTCATTACATTCAGTATCCAGTGAGAAAAGAAAACTTTTAGATTTTTTACAAAATGCCCCCAAAACTTCAGCGTTTTCCATAGCCGGCATCATCGAAAAAGTCGGTTTTTCACCCAAAAATCCAACTTTACCAAAATTGCTCAAAAGTACACAAGAGGTGCCTAGAGGCCAGAAACGAATTCCCTGAAGAGTTCAACTCATTACATTCAGTATCCAGTGAGAAAAGAAAACGTTTTGATTTTTTACAAAATGCCCCCAAAACTTCAACGCTTTCCATAGCCGGCATCATCGAAAAATTCAGTTTTTCACCCAAAAATCCAACTTTACCAAAATTGCTCAAAAGTACACAAGGGGTGCGTAGAGGCCACAAATGAATTCCCTGAAGAGTTCAACTCATTACATTCAGTATCCAGTGAGAAAAGAAAACTTTTTGATTTTTTACAAAATTCACCCAAAACTTCAGCGTTTTCCATAGCCGGCATCATCGAAAAAGTCGGTTTTTCACCCAAAAATCCAACTTTACCAAAATTGCTCAAAAGTTCACAAGAGGTGCCTAGAAGCCAGAAATGAATTCCCTGAAGAGTTCAACTCATTACATTCAGTATCCAGTGAGAAAAGAAAACGTTTTGATTTTTTACAAAATGCCCTCAAAACTTCAACGTTTTCCATAGCCGGCATCATCGAAAAAGTCGGTTTTTCAACCAAAAATCCAACTTTACCAAAATTGCTCAAAAGTTCACAAGAGGTGCCTAGAAGCCAGAAATGAATTCCCTGAAGAGTTCAACTCATTACATTCAGTATCCAGTGAGAAAAGAAAACTTTTAGATTTTTTACAAAATGCCCCCAAAACTTCAGCGTTTTCCATAGCCGGCATCATCGAAAAAGTCGGTTTTTCACCCAAAAATCCAACTTTACCAAAATTGCTCAAAAGTACACAAGAGGTGCCTAGAGGCCAGAAACGAATTCCCTGAAGAGTTCAACTCATTACATTCAGTATCCAGTGAGAAAAGAAAACGTTTTGATTTGTTACAAAATGCCCCCAAAACTTCAACGTTTTCAATAGCCGGCATCATCGAAAAAGTCAGTTTTTCACCCAAAAATCCAACTTTACCAAAATTGCTCAAAAGTTCACACGAGGTGCCTAGAGGCCACAAATGAATTCCCTGAAGAGTTCAACTCATTACATTCAGTATCCAGTGAGAAAAGAAAACTTTTTGTTGTTTTTTAAAATGCCCCCAAAACTTCAACGTTTTCCATAGCCGGCATCATCGAAAAAGTCGGTTTTTCACCCAAAAATCCAACTTTACCAAAATTGCTCAAAAGTTCACACGAGGTGCCTAGAGGCCAGAAACGAATTCCCTGAAGAGTTCAACTCATTACATTCAGTATCCAGTGAGAAAAGAAAACTTTTTGATTTTTTACAAAATTCACCCAAAAGATCAACGTTTTCCATAGTCGGCATCATCGAAAAAGTCAGTTTTTCACCCAAAAATCCAAGTTCACCAAATTTGCTCAAAAGTTCACACAAGGTGCCAGAGGCCAGAAACGAATTCCCTGAAGAGTTCAACTCATTACATTCAGTATCCAGTGAGAAAAGAAAACTTTTTGATTTTTTACAAAATTCACCCAAAACTTCAACGTTTTCCATAGCCGGCATCATCGAAAAAGTCAGTTTTTCACCCAAAAATCCAACTTCACCAAATTTGCTCAAAAGTTCACACGAGGTGCCTAGAGGCCAGAAATGAATTCCCTGAAGAGTTCAACTCATTACATTCAGTATCCAGTGAGAAAAGAAAACTTTTTGATTTTTTACAAAATGCCCCCAAAACTTCAACGTTTTCCATAGCCGGCATCATCGAAAAAGTCAGTTTTTCACCCAAAAATCCAACTTTACCAAAATTGCTCAAAAGTTCACAAGAGGTGCCTAGAAGCCAGAAATGAATTCCCTGAAGAGTTCAACTGATTACATTCAGTATCCAGTGAGAAAAGAAAACTTTTTGATTTTTTACAAAATTCACCCAAAACTTCAGCGTTTTCCATAGCCGGCATCATCGAAAAAGTCGGTTTTTCACCCAAAAATCCAACTTTACCAAAATTGCTCAAAAGTACACAAGAGGTGTCTAGAGGCCAGAAACGAATTCCCTGCAGAGTTCAACTCATTACATTCAGTATCCAGTGAGAAAAGAAAACGTTTTGATTTTTTACAAAATGCCCCCAAAACTTCAACGTTTTCCATAGCCGGCATCATCGAAAAAGTCAGTTTTTCACCCAAAAATCCAACTTAACCAAAATTGCTCAAAAGTTCACACGAGGTGCCTACAGGCCACAAATGAATTCCCTGAAGAGTTCAACTCATTACATTCAGTATCCAGTGAGAAAAGAAAACTTTTTGTTGTTTTTTAAAATGCCCCAAAAACTTCAACGTTTTCCATAGCCGGCATCATCGAAAAAGTCAGTTTTTCACCCAAAAATCCAACTTTACCAAAATTGCTCAAAAGTTCACACGAGGTGCCTAGAGGCCACAAATGAATTCCCTGAAGAGTTCAACTCATTAAATTCAGTATCCAGTGCGAAAAGAAAACTTTTTGATTTTTTACAAAATTCACCCAAAACTTCAACGTTTTCCATAGCCGGCATCATCGAAAAAGTCAGTTTTTCACCCAAAAATCCAAGTTCACCAAAATTGCTCAAAAGTTCACACAAGGTGCCTAGAGGCCAGAAACGAATTCCCTGAAGAGTTCAACTCATTACATTCAGTATCCAGTGAGAAAAGAAAACTTTTTGATTTTTTACAAAATGCCCCCAAAACTTCAACGTTTTCCATAGCCGGCATCATCGAAAAAGTCAGTTTTTCACCCAAAAATCCAACTTTACCAAAATTGCTCAAAAGTTCACAAGAGGTGCCAAGAGGCCAGAAACGAATTCCCTGAAGAGTTCAACTCATTACATTCAGTATCCAGTGAGAAAAGAAAACGTTTTGATTTTTTACAAAATGCCCCCAAAACTTCAACGCTTTCAATAGCCGGCATCATCAAAAAAGTCAGTTTTTCACCCAAAAATCCAACTTTACCAAAATTGCTCAAAAGTTCACACGAGGTGCCTAGAGGCCACAAATGAATTCCCTGAAGAGTTCAACTCATTACATTCAGTATCCAGTGAGAAAAGAAAACTTTTTGTTGTTTTTTAAAATGCCCCAAAAACTTCAACGTTTTCCATAGCAGGCATCATCGAAAAAGTCGGTTTTTCACCCAAAAATCCAACTTTACCAAAATTGCTCAAAAGTTCACACGAGGTGCCTAGAGGCCACAAATGAATTCCCTGAAGAGTTCAACTCATTAAATTCAGTATCCAGTGCGAAAAGAAAACTTTTTGATTTTTTACAAAATTCACCCAAAACTTCAACGTTTTCCATAGCAGGCATCATCGAAAAAGTCGGTTTTTCACCCAAAAATCCAACTTTACCAAAATTGCTCAAAAGTTCACACAAGGTGCCTAGAGGCCAGAAACGAATTCCCTGCAGAGTTCAACTCATTACATTCAGTATCCAGTGAGAAAAGAAAACGTTTTGATTTTTTACAAAATGCCCTCAAAACTTCAACGTTTTCCATAGCCGGCATCATCGAAAAAGTCGGTTTTTCACCCAAAAATCCAACTTTACCAAAATTGCTCAAAAGTTCACAAGAGGTGCCTAGAAGCCAGAAATGAATTCCCTGAAGAGTTCAACTCATTACATTCAGTATCCAGTGAGAAAAGAAAACTTTTTGATTTTTTACAAAATTCACCCAAAACTTCAACGCTTTCCATAGCCGGCATCATCGAAAAAGTCAGTTTTTCACCCAAAAATCTGAATTCACCAAATTTGCTCAAAAGTTCACACGAGGTGCCTTTTGACTCCAATAAATGGCGACAAAGGCATTCCTTTGTTATAGTTCATCCCCTGTTCCTTGTGATGGACTTGTAATGGCCTAGTGACGGTCTGGTGAGGGACTTGTGATGGACTTGTGATGGACTTGTGATGGACTTGTGATGGACTAGTGATGGACTTGAGATGGACTTGTGATTGACTTGAGATGGACTAGGGATGGACTTGTGATGGACTTTTGATGGACTTGGGAAAGGACTTGTGATGGACTTGTGATGAACTTGTGATAGACTTGTGATGGACTTGTGTTTGACTTGTGATGGACTTGTGATGGACTTCAGATGGACTTGTGATGGACTTGTGATGGACTTGTGATGGACTTGTGACTAACTTGTGATGGACTTGTGATGGACTTGTGATAGACTTGTGATAGACTTGTGATGTTGTGATGGACTTGTGATGGTCTTGACTACAACACTTAATGAAATCTGAAAATATTTCCCTGTACCTTCCTCACAAGTTGTCCCAAAGTAGTCAGCCGTACACTGACATTCAAAGCCACTCCATCCAGGCACACACTCTCCGTCATTGGCACAGGGCTGAGGATAACACGTCTCCTCACGAGGGCAACCAGGGTCAGCGAGTTCTGGGTCAAAGGTCGACTCATAGGGCGATGACCTCTGAAGCTCAATGTTGACATCGTTGATGTAGACATCTCGGATGCAACCGGTGAAGCTGAAGATGACGGCGAAACAAAAACTTCAAATTTTGGGTATTTGCAATGTCCAGATTTCTTTCGGTAATTTCACAATATTAAATAAGTGGTCCACTACATGTGATACCTTGGGCATTGTTTGTCTTTTGTCTGCAAACAGTTTCCATTATTTTCAATTCCTTTTTTCTGCATTCTCTATATTTGAGCGATGTTTAGGTTTATGAGGGTAGACTTCTAAAAACCTCAAAAGGGATCTTGAAATCTTTGAACAACCTTCCAATTTTCTACAAATCTTTTTTAAAATGAACCTTTAACCTAGCAGGTATCAGCAGGGTTCAATTCTAAAAAACCCTCAAAAGGATAATCTTAAACTCTACAAAAAACTTTCTTATTTTCTGAAAAACCTCCGTAACATGAACCTCTACTTTAACAGTTATCAGCTATAACTTTTGATAGACCTCTCTCATAGACAGCCATCTTCGTAGGAAAATTACAACTGTGTACTCAACGCCATCAGGTGTGTGTGCGCGCAGAGTACAAAATGTTCTAAACAAGCGAGCATGTAGATTGAAATTTCTTTGAAATAAGGCACAGCCGTTACGCGTCACAAAAATTTGACCCCCTAAATGCTGATACACGTGACAATCTGTTGGCAGTGACGTCATTTGAGAGATATTTATATGGAATGACCTGTTTACCTTTGAGTGACTTGTAGTGAATCTCTGAGTGGTTGGAATGTTGGATTGGAGTGAAGCGTACCAAACAGTAGCGGCAAGCTTAGCTGAATCGACGGTGGGGCTAGGAGAGTTCCGGTGTACCCCTGTCCAGAGGCCTCATTGGTAACTAAAAACAAAACATTTGAAATCTTTCGATTATTTAGACTCTTTGTGGTTGATCTAAACTATATTGTATAGAGGTATAGAGATAGTGTAGTAAAAAAATGTAGCCATGAATTCAAATTGTCATATGTTGCAAGTTCAAACATCTGTGGTGTTTAAAAGGACTGTAACACCAACTCCGTTCTTCAAGAATTATTTGAAATTGAAAATTTGTAAAAAACAGATCATCTGAAATTTCCTTATTTGCTTTGTGGCACTAGAAAATTACATCTGCATAAGGTATGCCAGGAATTTCCAAGTCTATCGGTTAATCTGATTTCTCTGACATTCGAAAACGAAATCAGTGAACTTCTTTCAAGTCTGCATACCTTGGACGGTGAGTTGAAACCCGTTGATGGTTAGCCTGACTCGATACCAATCACCGTCAGCGAGATTCATGCCAGCTTCTGCAGCAGAAACGCCTCCTAGGACCAGCATCGCTACCTTGATGGTATGTCTGCCTATCAGGACTACGGAAATACCTGACGGCTGTAAGATAAAAAGAGACAATAAAGAATTTTACAAACAACAGGGAAAAGCCGTATCTATATCATATAGTTGGCAAAGCATCCCAGGGGAAACATCACACCAACTTAGAGAGAAGACAATGAGAAGAAATTACAGTTTAAGAGTTTGGAGGAAAAGCCCAGAAGATACTCTGGGGAAAACCCACGGAATCAGGCAGGGACAGAAAACTCAATCCACACATTGGCCCAGGCGGGATTCGAACCCGGGTCACAGCGGTGGAAGGCGAGGAAAGTACTGCTACCCCAACCTGACTCCAGGTCAAAGGTCATTCTGGATGACGCAATGTTAGGCAATGTTACGAGAAAGCCGATTCCGCTCTTTATTATTAACGTACGAGTGTCGTGCGCCCGTCTCCCTAGCCTGCGCGTTCATGTGACTTCGGTGAACGTTCGATAATCCTGAGTGTCCCGTTACCAATATCATTGTGTGCATGCGCAGTTGGAACACCGAAATGGCTTATTGGGTTGACACTGTGGTATTAACCAGATTCCAATCCTGGCCAGGATGACATATGGATTGGGTTTGCCAATTCCTGCCTGATTTCAGGGGTTTCTCCAACCTCAGAATAATACTTTTGTTCGTTTTCAAGTAGATTTGATCATGTTGTGAGCGTCAACGGGTTGGAACAGGGTTGCTACATCAGACAAAAATTTTGACATTTATTTAGAAACTCTCACAATATAACACAAGACAAGAAAAAAAACAAGCGCGAGTGCACAATATGCTCTGGCCCAGTTCCGGAATGTCTCACTTCAAATGCAAAATAGACGGCATGTGCATCGATTGAGACAAAGGGGCGTGTTCCGCAAAACTTTCGCCCAGAGTACATTTGGTCATTTTTTGGTCAATTGGTAGTTATATTTTATGTGAAACTTAGGGGGCCTGTTTTTGATCAATTTTCCGGGAACACACCTACTGACCGACCGTACTTATGACAGCGACTTGTGGGGTACTCATAATAACTGAAATTTAGGGAAGAATGCTACCCCACTACTCACCCTTAGAAAAACGGAACCCCAAAAGTGAAATTCTAAAGAAGAGGGATAAAAGGCCAACAATGCAAGTACCCCAGAACTCCCATGCTGGGATGTCCGACCAACCGACTGACCAACCGACCAACCACAAAGTGACACATAGAAGCTCCTTCCAGAGCTTACAAAGGGGCAATGCTTACCATGTACATGATGAGTCCTGGCTGAGCATTGGCAGCACTGAACGCAAACTGAAGGCTCGTGATTGGTCCGTCGGGGACGACGCCCGAAGCGAAATGGAGGAATTTCGTCGGCGTGAAACTTGCCAGCGTCTGTATGCCGCAGTCGCGACCTGTGAACCCGACCCGACACTCGCAGGTATAGTTGGACCAGAGGTCAACACAGAGGGCGCCGTTCAGGCAGGGATTGGAGAGGCAGTTGTCGGAGTAAGGACAGCCCGGAGTGAGGGTTGGTACGGACTGGCCAGTAGGGGGCGCCAGACTGACAAGTGCACTGTTGATGTTCAGATTCTGTGGGAGGAATAAGAAACAAGAGAAATTTTGCAAGAGAAGTATTTTTGGTTATGTAAATCAGGGAGTGTCCCTTGATCATGAATATTCATGAAAAATAACCCTCACCTCCAGGCAGCCAATGAAGTTCCTGGTAGTCTTCAACTTTGACACCATGTAAGGGGTCACATCAGGGCCGACGCCACCAACGTAAAGCAAGTCATTCAACTCTAGCTCACCCCCGCCAGTAGAGGGCTCCAGACTGGCCACGCATTCTGGACCGCATTGTCCGTCGTCCACGGCAACACCGGCAATGAGGTTGACGATGCTGACCGACACTTTGTGCGTCTGGCCGTCGTTCAGATCACGACCTAACGTTGCTGACAGTGTCTCCGAGCCAACATTGATGGAAACGTAGAGGGCGCCCTTGTATATCTCCAGTGCCAGGTGGTCGATGCGTCCACTGGTCTGGGTCTATGGACAGAAATATGAAACATGTTATCACCATCATGGACAATCATATAAACAGCGCCCCCAATAGTTCTGGCGCTGGGCCAATAGATCAGAAAAGTGCATTGAACTCACCCCTTGATTGTAGAAGAGAACACCATTAGGGATGGTCGTTACAAACTGCAACGTCACTAGCATCTGCGTGATAGCCCGTCTCTTCCTACCCTGACCCCCTACGCCCAAAGTGTAGGAGGCCAAGGGTGGCAGCTCCAATGCACCATTGCCTGCAAAGCTGGCCTGTTCCACTGTGCCACAGGTGAGACCAGAGGTTCCTGGCAACAAATGAGAACAAAATAATGCTTCAGTTATTGTTTATTTAAATGAGTAATTTCAGACGACGTGCTGTCGAGAGTAAAACGTGTGCAAAGTCTTTGTGATTTGGGATAGAACAAGAATAACTAGACGATGAGACAAATGTCACGTGATGTACATTGTGACTTGTTCTCAACATGTCACAATGTGTTCTGTTTAACCGAGCCATCTGCTAACCACATAATTCCATGCTTACAATCACCATTATGTGTTAACAGCAGCTAGCAGAAAAATTATGTGCTAACCCTGTAAGCACAGAACCTTAGTCATGTGATGTAAGCATGCGCAAAAGCCAAAATTCCTCACTAACCTGTGAAATACGCTTACCGTAAGCACAGAATTTTCTGCTACAGTAAGCAGGGATTAACGGCTAACAGTAAGCACATTGGACCCGGGGGCCAATTTCACGGCGCTGCTAAGCACACGATTTTCTGCTAACAGAGCCTCCGTCTATTTCATGGAGACTGTAAGCAGTAAGCACAGCAAAAGGCACGCTAACCTCAGAGGAAAAATAAATTTGCTTAACTTAGTGACGTAACAATAGAAATCTCCATGCGCGCGACCGCTAGCACATCCGGGCCGTGAAATAGTGCTTAAGGTTAGCAAATTTTTCTGCTATGCTAAGCACAACTTTTCTGCTGGCTGTTAAGCAGCGCCGTGAAATTGGGCCCTGATCACAGATACAAAATCTGGAGTTCCTACCTTTTGGGCAAACACACTGGTACGCATCCAGCATTGGCTCAATGCACTCAGCTTCATTCTGACAAGGATTGGATGCACACTCCTGGATATCAATCTCACAATTGTATCCTAAAAAGGAAAACAATAACAAATATGTTGAACAATTTTAAAAATATATTTCATTAAATGCACAACACTTGGAGACTGACTGTTTACGTAAAAGGGAAAACAATAACAAACATCGTGTTGAACAATTATAAAAATTTATTTCATTACATACACAACACTTGGAGACTGACTGTTTACGTAAAAGGGAAAACAATAACAAACATCGTGTTGAACAATTTAAAATATTTATTTCATTACATACACAACACTTGGAGACTGACTTTTTACGTTGAACCCTATACTGCTCCTCGGTAAAGATTGTGTCCATGATAATAATAATAGTAACTGGATTTATAGAGCGTCAAATTGCCTAAGGATACAATACAAGGCGCTAAACAAAGAATGACACAGGGAAAGAAGACAAGAAAAGAGGACAGCCAGCTACGATGTGGGCAAAAGGTGGGTCTTGAGAGCCTTTTTGAAGGACAAAACACTGCCAGAATTTTGGATGGGGATGGGTAGGCTATTCCAGACAAAGTGACAAAGTGTTCTAATCTTGGATGAATTGAGCTTTTTACCTTCATATCCAGCAATGCAGGAGCAGTTGTAGAAATCAATCAAGTCGAAGCATGTTCCATTCATGCACGGATTGGAAGCGCATTCATCGATGTCAAACTCGCAAGCAATGCCTGAGAAATGGAAGAAAAACAAGACAGAGGCAAGCAATATTAAAGCTGGTCCCAGAGTGCACAATATTCCATTGGAGGTCTTTTCATGCATCTGGTCTGCACACTGGCCCTGATTGTGCTCATGTCACCCACGACGCGACAACGATTCCACGGCATAGCTAGTCATGTGAGTTCTTTTAACAATAGTGGTACAAGCGTGTTGATAACAATCAAATGACCTCCCATGGCCACAGCCAATCAGCTGGGGTTTTTTTTTTTGCCGCACGCTGATTGGCTAAACTGCAATTGATTCCCGCCTGTCAGGAAAATGTCGTAGAATTGGAAATGTTTCTACTCTTGCGAATGCTGGGGTTTTTGTTAGCACCGACTGATGCCGATCGTCTCAATATCGTCGCAGCTGCACTCAGGTCGCAAAAAATTGGCGACTAATTTGTTCCCGACGGACGTAACTCAGGCACAGCTTGATCCAAAAGTCAGTCACTGACTGTTCTGTGCTGTCGCAAGGTCGACCTGAGGGCAGCTGTAGGCCAATTATATGCTTTAAAATGTCCTCGGGGAGCTAATGTAGTTCCAGAAAGTAATATAAGCCTGTCTGTCAAGGGTAACAATATTATGTGATAATTATGGAAACAAGAAAAAATCATTTTACCTGTATAACCAGCCGGGCAGAAGCATTCGTATGCGTTGATGAGATCTACACAACTTCCACCATTCAAACAGGGATTGGATGAACATTCGTCTTCTTCGGTCTCACAATGTATTCCTGCGAGGTTATGAATATTTATTAAGTAATCATACATATTCACAATGTACTGTAAGATTATGAATATTCATAAAGTAAGCATATTTACATTATAATCATGCAGGAATATGAACGCACCATAACATATATTCATTTAGTCTTCCTGCAGGTGCATGAATATTTATGAGCAAAAATGCATATTCACAATGCATTCTTTCAAGCTTATGAATATTAATGATTAATGATGCATTTTCCCCATATCAGGTGTGGCATTAAGAAATAAAATTAATTTTAAAGGGTGTAAACAAACAAAATTATCAAAAAGTACAACTGACAATATTTTCATATGCCACTTAAAAATAAAATTCTGTGGTAAAATATTTACCTGAAAATCCTGGTGCGCACATGCATACATATTCATCCACCAGATCTTCACATGTTGCATTATTCATGCATGGATTGGACCTACACTCGTCTGTGTTGAACTCGCAATGCGTGCCGTTGTAACCCTCTGCACATGTGCAGTTGTAATCATTGATGAGGTCGTTACAAGTCGCGTTGTTCTGGCACGGAGTCGAGACGCATTCGTTGATTTCAGACTGGCAATGGTCACCTAGGCAAAAGAGTTAGGTAAATGTAATAGATTAAATTAATCTACATTAACCCTAACAGAACTCAACCCATCAAACCCGAACAGCATGTATTGCTGGAATCTGTCAGGATGGGTACAGAACCCCTAAACTAACAGTCTTTTACATTGGGTTGGCACACCTCCAGAAACAAAGTAAGAAATATGTGTGTGCAGTTTCCCATATGGTGTTGGAATTTGCCAGGATGGGTATGGTTCCTAGTAAATCATGCTAGGGAGTTAAAGTTAAGTTTACAGATTTTTCTGTGAGTCAAAAAGAAAGTGACGTGTATTTTCCCTTAAAAACGGAATCAAATTTAATACACAAAGGTAGTATGTCTTAAATGAGCATGTTCTTCCACTCATCTGAAGAAAAAAAAGAATTACTGAAATTGATCCCTGCTAACAGAAGTTTTACATGTTGTACTAAAAGAAGTTATGCTTATAGATTTTTTACGTGTCCCTGGAACGCCATTGGAAGATATTGATCTGAGTGAGAATTACAGATTACACACGCGCATTCAAATACAAATGAGATTTTAATCAGTTGAGTCAAGACTGAAACATTATATTTACCGTCAGATATTGTGTTTTGAATATGAGGGACAAGTCCACCCTTTTTTCTGAAATTTTGTTGGCGATTTTTGTCTGTCTTCCTCTGCAAGTTTTCGTTCATTCACAGAGGTGGGAAAACGTGCACGTTTCATTGTATTTAATGGGTATTCATCAGTTCGTAGAATGGAAAATGATCAGTGATGGACAGCTGAAGTTTGTGATTTTTTATCCAAATAGTCATAACTTGGGAGTAGAGAATGCAAATTAAGTGAAATTTTCACAGTTACTAGTCAATAACATGTACTTCATCCCTATGCTATTTTTCACCCTTTACTTAATGCCGGCTGACGGCGATGGCTGCAGCTCAATGCAGGGTGATGAGCCAGGGAACGCTGTGGCCGCATTCCTGCTGTATGGCCGCTGGACAACAGCCAAATGCCTGCACGTACACAGTCCACTCAAAGTGTAGCTGTCCGTGGTCGAACAATACCGGCGTCAAGGGGTTAAGAAACAGAGCGAGCCAAATATTCTTAAAAATACTTTTTTCTTTTAATTTTGGTCACTTGATTTTTGACTCACCCTGCAGAAGCCTTTCCTTCAACTATGACTTGTATTTTTCAAAGAAATTTTGAGAGAAAATGTTGAGAGAAAATGTTGACAGGAAAAAGGGTACATACATTAATGAGAACAATGGAACCAACCTTGGTACCCCGGTGTGCACGCACAGAGATACCCAGCGACGATATCTTGACACTGAGCTCCGTTCTGACACGGCGAGGAGACGCACTCGTTGATCAGAGTCTCGCAGCGTGGACCTTCAAAGCCTACAGAACAGTTGCATTGTGGGTCGGCACCGGCCTGAACGCAACGAGAAAATTGATATCATTAAATCATCACTGACATGAAATGTCAACTTTTGGGGAGAACTGCAATCTGAAAAATCTTATGGAAAAGCATTTGTTTTGCATTCCTTGCTTAAGTAGGCCTATTCTAAAATATGCAACAGACACAAATTGGACTGAATTTGCAAAATCCTCCATACCTGTTCAATACAGACTCCTCCATTCCTACACGGTGGCGGCATAACCTGGCATTCCAAGACGTCAATCTCACACAACACTCCCGTCCAGTACGGCTCAAGACACAAACACTGGAACGAGCCTGGCGGGCTGTTGACACAGAGGGCGCCATTTAGACAGGGACCGCTCAGACACTCGTTGGTATCTTGCTGACATTGGGTACCAGACCATCCCTCCGGACAATGGCATACAAAACCTGCAAAGTTTGTTAATTTGGGAAAAAAACAATATAAATAACTGGCAAATGGAGAAAAAAAACCCGCATATTATAGTCGGTAAAGCATCCCAGGGGAAACATCACACCAGAAGACTATGAGAAGAAATTACAGTTTTAGAGGTGGGAGGAAAAGGCTAGAAGATATTCTGGGGAAAACCCACGGAATCAGGCAGGGACTGAAAACCCAATCCACATAATGACCCAGGCGGGATTCAAACCCGGGTCACAGCGGTGGAAGGCGAGGAAAGTACCGCTTCGCCAACCTGACTCCCCTTGTGTAATCTGACTCCCATGTGTAATTGCAAGCTCCAAGCCAGTCATTTAGACACGGCCTAAGCGCTGCCTACCTTGGTCAGTATTCTCACAGGTTCCTTGGTTCATACACGGACCGGACAGACAACCTTCCCTGAAGATCTCACACAAACTCCCGATGTACTCAGCGGTACACTGACACCTGTAGCCGTTAGTCCCATCTGTGTATTCCACACAGGTGCCATCGTGTTGACATGGATCCGAACGACAGTCATAGATGTCACCTTCACACTGTACACCTGGCAGGAAAAGGTCAAGGGTCAATATCAGGATAGGTCACCTGACTTGTCATGTGACCAATGTGCAAGTAAATATAATAATTACCATGTATGGGTCATTTGCGAGACATTCCCTTAGACTTGTGCACCAAAGTTTGTCGACCGATAACTTTTGACCAAGTTGACCTGACCCGACCCAACTTTCCCTATTTCTAAATGACTCCTCCCATTCTTCTAACTTTCCTACAAACCAATCCCATACTCCTCTCTAAGTGGTAATTGTGACCTTAAAATGTCTGAACAACATCGCCTGTCTCTTAAAGGCACAATGAATAACTACAAAATGTCTCCCCAAGGGTGCATACAGAGTTGTAAAACTCTATAATTCTTATTTGTAATTTGGGAAAGAACTGGTTCCTGTTCTTTCTTTTGTATAGAACATCTGCAGATTTTAGATGCGAAACTGGAGTATGGCTGGACAAATTGTTTAATAGCACATGTTGAATGATTGTCACTGTTATGAAAACAAGACAAGACTTTTCAAATTATTATTGAAAAACACTGCCAAGTTTGTTTCCCGGGAGACAAACAAACTCATTTCTAATCCTCATCATATGACTGTTGTTTGTCTTTAATAAAACTCCCAAAGTGGATCTGCCAAAAGATGACAGATGCCAAGATGACAGATCTTGTTTTTCAGGCATGGAGTTGAGAGACATATCCGTTGGTTTCAGATTCAGAGAGATGCTTGAATCCTAATTTCTCCTGCCAACATAAACCAACTTGGACAGCACAGTGTTTGGGTTTAAAAGTAGATCCAGCCTAATCCAGCGGTGAAGTTGGTTTTCTCCTGTCAAGACACATTGACATTTTCCTTGTAACCGTAATACCCTGGCTAGAATATTCAAGGTCAATGGATTAGTCCTAGGCTGAACTTTATCATATTCCATTTCCCGAGAAATGATTTACTGAAGGTTATCCTAAGATAAATCTAAGATGTCCTTCCTGTTCTTATATTAACAAGGTCTTGGCTCCTAATTTGAGATGTCACATTTCAATTTAGTCCTCAATTATCCTCCACTGTGCAAGAACTTTCTAGGGAAATCAAAATACAACTTTAAGTAAGAGTGGATGGGCAGTAACTTCCTAATCTGGCAAAAAATCCCCCAAATCTCCAAGTGGATATTAGAGAATCCGATAGGGTTAGGGTTAGTCGTACAACAATACTCTACCATGAAGGTACATACATCGTGTCCCAATAAACATTGTGCATGAAGAAATCGCTGATTTTCTCAAAAGTGGGTCAGACTAGCTAATCAAATTGTATAGCATTTTCAAGCCTATGGTCTTGTTTATGATTGGTGAAAAAAATCAAGAAAATCCAATGATGCAAACCAGAGATATCTTTGATTTGGTAAGGCTATGTTTTTTCCGACCTGCACAATGTAATTTCCACACTTTGTATTTGCTTGTATATACCAACTATTGGGTTATTGGTATGTGTTACGCAGTGCTTGAAATATTGCATGGCCTTCATGTTGCATTTGGATAAGGGTGATCACAGATAACATTTTGGGTACATAACATTATATAATCAAATCTAAAAGGATGTGAGAACTGCTCAAATTGCAAAATTACTCGAGCGTCAAAGTTTGTACAGACCTTTTTGACGTTCTTTGTTAACATGCTTAACTAATTGGTTCTAATTGTGCGAATTGGAGGAAAATAATATAGCCTTACAAAATCAACGATATCTCTGGTTTGCATTGATGGATTTTCTTGATATTTTCACCAATTATAAACAAGACCAAAGGCTTTAAAATAATATAGAATTTTGCTGTACTCACTGGAAGATAGATAATCCATGTATCAGAAAAAAGAAATGTAACAATTGTTTAAATGAAAAAAAAAAGATGATACAGAAACGACCACAAGTACTAGAATATTGAGTGTGTTTACCAGTGAAGCCATCAGCACAGGTGCATGTGAACGGCAGCGTAGCGCTCGGTACCCTGCTACACGTGCCACCATGGAAGCAAGGCGGAGGGTCACACACGTCAATGTCTATCTCACAGTTGATTCCCTGGTAACCGGGCCCACACAGGCAGGTATATAGGAAGTCGCCATCGACGCACATGGCACCGTTCATGCAAGGTGCGCTCAGGCAACTGTCAATGGGGAGGTTGCAGAGCGTGCCTTCCATACCTGCTGGGCACTCACACCTTGAAACAAAGAAAGTCAAATAATTACTCATGTTGATCAGTTGAAGGGTTTTGTAGTTGAGTCCATCACAAGTCCATCACAAGACCTGTCACAAACAAATCATAAGTCCAGTCACAAGCAACAGTGGATGATCAATAAGGCCAAAAAACAAAAGTCTCCGGTTTCTAGTATGCGCGCGGGTCGCCGTAGCCATGCGCGTCGGCAAAATGAAAAAGTTTTTTTTTCAATGAAAGATGATGTCTCAAAACCACCAAACTCACTGGTTTGACTGGAATCCTGCTGCTGCACATTTTTAACGTGTTTTTAGATGGGGTCATGATCGAGAATAAGCTTTATGTGGCCTCTCTGGACTCCCATATATTTGCACTAAGTCTAGTCGGGCACCATTTGCAGTCATCAGCCGACAATTGAGGCAAAAAAAATCAGTTAAAAAAAAAAAAGCCGCGTCGACGCACCACTTTTAGCTGTGGGATAGCAGCTCAACAAATCATCATGTCTCTCTGTTAGTCCGTTGACATTGTCTATTGCCCCCACATATTTTTACCGATTTCAATCAAACTTTGTCAAAAGTATCAGTAGCCCAGCCCCAACATGTCACATGACCAAACTGGGGTCAAAGGTCATCATGGGATTGTGCACTAGGGTCAAAAACTTGACTTTTTTAAACACGAATTCGTTGGCCCGCAGCTTCCGAGATATTTCCGATCGAGCTTGTATAAGGCAATTTATTCCGAAGAAAACTTCTTGCCTTTCTCAACCATAATGAGCCGCATCAGCCCAAACTGAAGCATTTTTGTCAAAAAAATCAGCCAATTCAGACAAATCCTCAAAATTTCTCGATTTCTTGACTTCTTACCTGAATCCATTGACAAGATCCACGCATATTTCATGTGCTTGGCAGGGCTGATATAGCTCACATTCATTGACGTCATTCTGACAGTGGGTTCCGGTGTAACCAGGCTGGCAGATACACTCGTACATGTTCAGCTGCGTTTGTCGACAGTAACCGTTATTGCCACACGGGTTGCTGGCACACTCGTTTATGTCTACCTCGCAATTTGCTCCCTCAAATCCTGCAAGAATTTTTAAAAAAAACAGACTTGTATGATTTTAAGTTTCAAGATTTAAGTTTAAATTTGTTTCAAACTTTTATGTGACTCTGTGCTGCTTGATAGTTTAGAAGTAATGAAATGACAAGTTTGTTTGGGCGTGATTTTTTTTTAAATTGCAAGTTCTCGGACACAAATTAGTATGCCATGTTTACAAAAATTACGATGGTGAAAAGAAACGCCCAACATTAAAAGTTACATCTCACTGATGGTTTACAAATATTGAGTGGCTCAGAGTGAAATGGGAGGAACACTATTGCAAGGTAAAATTCATGAAATGTTTTGCTAGTAATAATGTCCGCCTTCCAGAAAGTATGTACAGAGCCAGCTTGGTTATACATGTAGGGTATATGCACATTATTCTTTGATAAAGTGTTCATCATCGTCGGATTTGAACAGCGCCCCCATTGGAATTATTGTACGAGCAACTTCCCCCCCTTTAGATTTTACGGAGGCCAAGTGTCTGGAAAAAAAAAAAGTGTCTACATTTCAGATTGTTTGGCCGATGAACACCCCCCCCCCCCCCCCCCCCGGCGAAAAAGGAACTGCATGTCAGCTACAAGTTCTATTATATCAGAGTTGTAGACTCGTGACTCGGATGTGAGTTTCTGTTACTCAGATTTGCGTTACAATGGACGAGGAATAAAGCTTGAAGGCTTACCTGGCAAGCACGTGCAGACGTAACCGTTGACGTAATCTCCACACAATCCTCCGTTCTGACAGGGATTGGAACCGCACTCCAAGACCTCAAACTGACACGCGTCGCCGTGGTAACCGGGGGTGCAGTAACAGGTGTGGCCACCTAGGGATGAGTTTTAAGATTGATGAGGTTAGGAGTGGCTGGGCTCAAACCAAACTTGGAATTCTATGGAGGGAACCCAACTTGGGATACAATGGATGAAAACGAAGTTGGGATATAATAGGTAATGGGTGGAACCCAACTTGGAATGCAACGGGTGGAGCGCAACTTGTAATACAATAGATGGAAAACAAAGTTGGAATACGATGGGTGGAGCCCAACTTGGAATGCAACGGGTGGAGCCCAACTTGGAATGCAATGAGCGGCGCCTAACTTGGGATACAATGAATGGAAACAAAGTTGCAATAAAAAGGGTAAAGCCCAACTTGGAATATAACGGGTGAAGCCCAACTTGGAATACAACGGGTGGAACCCAACTTAGAATACAAGGAGTGGAGCCCAACCTGGAATGCAAGACGGAACCCAACTTGGTATACAATACCACATGGGATTTTCTGTGCACATTTGAATATTCCATTAGGAGAAATTAAGTAGAGCCTTACTCCCGCTTTATCATGGTAAAATCCCACTTGGGTCTAAACACAAAATGGGCTTGTAGTCCTTAACCTCCCCTCCGCCTTTTTTTTTTACCAAAAAAGGTTTTCAGAATAGCCGTCGCGGAAGTGGAAATGGTAGTACCCTTGATTTTCACTACAGTGGCCCGGGTTCCAATCCCACTCGTGTACATGCGGCTTGTTACAGAGCGATGACTCACCTGTGGGATTTTCCACACAGACTGAGTGGACACCGCACGGGTTGAAGTTACACTCTCTAACGATCGCCTCACAGTGAACACCGAGGAAGCCTTCCGGACACTGACAGACGTAGCCGTTGGCTAGATCTTGACAGGTTCCTCCGAAGAAGCAGGGCTGGCTTAGGCACTCGTTGATGTTCTGATCGCAGGTTTTGCCAGCAAAACCTGCCCAAATGAAAATCATGAAGGGCATGAATGGCGAACCAGTTATAGTTGCATGTTATGTAAACATAGACGCTAGGGAAAGCAAATCTCTTGAAACTGATATGAGTAAAATTACTGTAAACCTTGGGAAAACTGCGTACTGCTTGATTTTAGTTGCACGACTTTGCACCAAATGTGAGGCATTCTGCCAAAATGAGACACAACTGGGCAGCGGGTTTGCTAGAATTAGGAAAGAGAATAAAATTCTCCTTACAATAGTGTTTGTTGTACTTCAATCAGACATTTCTTTGACAAGTTATGGCTGTTTAAAGTTTGCATTCATCGACATGTCAGAAAGTAAAAATACTGAGAAAAAGGCATTTCAAGTTTTGAGTTTTGTAGTCATGCAAATAAAAGATGCCAAGTGGTTTTCCTTAATAAACACTTTCATTCCAAGGCTTTTATACTATTTCTTTAAATTATGTGTGGTAGACATATCAAAGGTTATAAATATCAATAAATCTGAAAATCGAAAAAAAAATCACTCCCATTCAGTTTTTTTAATTTTTCACCACTACGGCTGAGCCCAGTTCCGTCTCAATTTACCAGAACGCCTCACAAATTGCATGACACAAGTCATGCTGAGAAGTGCACAAATTCTGAGTGCAATATCACTTGTTTCAAAACCACAATTTTTTGGGCCCTCAATTGTGTAATGTTGATGTTAGTCAATCAAAGTTATTTTTTGGGGTATAACTATCAAATTCAATTATAAAAATTGAGGTACTATTACATAACATCATGCTGACCTGGAAAACATCGGCAGATGTAGTCTCCATACGTGTTCTCACATAACTGCGTCTGCGTAGGATGACACTGACTAGGTTGCGACAGACATTCATTGACGTCCAGCTCACAAACCACTCCTTGGAAGTTGCTCGGACAATCGCAGCGGAACGCGTTCACCAAATCCACGCACAGTCCCCCGTGTTGGCATGGCAACGAGATGCACTCATTCATGTTGACGTTGCAGAAGTTGCCAGTCCACCCCGGAGTGCACGCGCAGGTGTAAGAGTTGAATCCGTCGAGGCACTGAGCGTTGTTCTGGCAGTTGTTCGTCGGCAGGCAATCGTTGATTTCGTTCTGACAGCGGGGTCCCTCGTACCCTACTGCACATGTGCAGTCGTAGCCATTGAAACGGTCCGTGCACTGACCTCCGTTCAGACACGGCTGCGACAGGCATTCGTTAATCTCTGATTGGCAACGCTGCCCCTCATAACCGGCGACACACAGACAACTAAATGCGTTGATCTGGTTCGTACAAGTCCCGCCGTTCGCGCACGGCGTCGACGCGCATTCGTCAACCTCAACATCACACGTCAAACCGGTATACCCGCCTCTACAGTTACACTGGTAACGGTTGACCCCATCCACGCACACACCACCGTTCACACATGGTTGGCTCTGACAATCGTCCATATTGACTTCGCATCTTGGACCTTCGAAGCCTACTGGGCACGTGCAGACAAACGCCCCTAACCGATCGGAACACTGACCTCCATTGATACAAGGGTTACTGAGACACTCATTGACTTCAGTCCTGCATAGTGGGCCCTCCCAGGCTGAGGGACACATGCAAAGGAAGGAGTTACTACCATCTTGACACTGTCCGCCATTCATACACGGTGAGGAAGCACATTCATCTATGTTGATCTCACAATGGGTGCCTTCAAACCTGAAAGGTCAAAGGTCAAGAGAAAAGCACCCAGACGAAGATTCAGGAAGATAGAAATATGGTAAAGCCTGCAAAAAGTTATTGTTCGGTGGATTACTGAGAATAAAAGCTGAAGAAGCCAAGAATGATCGCTTGCAGTAAAACATCAATTTTTTGAAAAACAAATATATATATATAATAGATAATATAAAATATAAATAAATGTATATTTATAAAGGCAACTTTGAAAAGTGAACAATGTACTTTTATTTCTGCTTATTTTAAAACTGGAATTTGAGACCTTGAATTTACAAGATTAAAAATATTATGCTGCAGAAATCGCTACTGTTGTAAACAAAAAACGATGAACGATAACAAATTGAAAACTATCAATTTACACAAAACAAGCAATTAATGGTTACACTGTAAAACAAATTCAAGTCTTTCAAACTATCTTGTTAAATTTGGAATCTTTCCAAAACAAGACTAAGAGGCCTATCATGTGTAAGCCTAAGTCTTGCTGCACTTACCCTGCGGCACATTGGCATGTATACCCATTGACCCCATCGACACACGCTCCTTGGTTCCGACACGGACTAGACACGCATTCATCGACATCCACCTCACAATTCAGTCCGGTCCATCCAGCCATACAGAAGCATGTATACTGGTTGATCCCGTCGGTACAGGCAGCCCCGTTCTGGCATAACCCTAGGGCACATTCGTCGATATCCTGCTGGCAGTGTACGCCTTCCCACCCCGGGGCGCAGGTACAGGTGTAACCGTTAACGGCGTCGAGACAGGTGCCGCCGTTAGCGCAGGGAGTGGAGAGACATTCATTGATGTTCATTCCACACAGAGGACCTGTCGAATGTCACGAAAGTACTCCGGTGAGAGTAGATCAAACTTGGCAATTACCGTGTCCCAAATACAGTTCCTGTCTTTTTGCAAAAATTAACACACAACATGGTGGTAGACATGACATTTAAGGTGCTATGCCACTTTTCTGGTATATTTGAAAGCCTTTGATTGGTAATCTTGCAATGTTTACAAAATGCTGTTTATACTGTAAACACCACAAGGAACACAACGGCCGAGAATTTCTATACGCCCGAGGACAATGCTTTGCATTTCCCTTTGTCCCTGTAATACAACACTCTCCCATAGACTAAGCACATAACCGTACAATCGAGGACCGTTTTCAACAAAAGACCCAACGCTCGTGGACTGAAAGGATCTTTTGTTCTCCTTCTGTGTGTCCGTCCTCTATTGTAAAGCCGTACATGTACAAAGCCTCATAAAGCATTTTGCGAGAGCTTTCACCAATTGTCCTGTAACATCTGTGTTCAACAATATTTTCAATTTAGATTCTACTTTTCATATCAAACATGCAATGCTAGTTCTCTCCCATAGTATTGTCAATAACGACAGGGTAAGGACAAGGTTGTGTCTGCATTACTACGGCTAACAATTACACATGCACCTATGGAAGCGGCTTAATCCACTTGCCATAGACATGTGTGTGTTACCGCTAGCCATAGCCTCGTAATTCAGATGCGGCTAAGTAGACAAATATGTTGAACATACCTTCCCAGCCTGGTGCACAGAGACAGTCATAATGATTGACTGCATCTGTGCATGTAGCATCGTTGAGGCAGGGACCAGACTCGCATTCATCTAGGTCAATCTCACAGTTGGTACCATTGTAGCCTAACAAAACAAAAAAAATGCAACAAGAAGAAAAGTGTGTTCATCATCCATTTTCAGTAATTTCCTTAGCCCACAATTCTTCCTTAAGTCCCAGTGGACTTCTTTCGATTTTTAATTATTTTTTATAAACACTTTATACTCAATGTTGCCCCCAAGTGATTGTGACAAAAATAATCACTCGGGTGGGACTCGAACTCACAACCTCCTGCTTACTAGTGAAGACATCTTACTACTCTACCACCAAGCTTGCCGAGTTGGCTGGCTGGTTCGAATCAGATATAGCAGCGATGAAACTAAAGAGTCCTACCTGAGTGATTTTTTTTTATCACAATCACTCATGGGCAGCACTGAGTATATAGTGTTTATAAAATAGGCCGGTGAAGGAAAAAAAAACCTGGATTGAATTGACATCACTTTGATGCAAATTCCATCTTATGAATGATGTATTATAGGTGCGCCTCAAACATGGGCAAGATTTTGAACAACTTTACCAGCCCCAACAGATTTGGTTCAAGTCCTGAGTGAAATCATCCGGTACTGACCTAGTAGACAGACACACTCGTAAGCGGCCACCTTGTCCGTGCATCCTACAGCATTCACGCATGGGTTACTCAGACACTCGTTGATTTCAACCTCACAGAGGTCGCCCTCGTAGCCGTCTGCACATGTGCAGTTGAAGTCACCGAGGAAATCGATGCACTGGGCCCCGTTCTGACACTGGCTGGGAATGCAGTTGTTTGCAATGGAACAGTTCTTGCCTGAAAAAAAAATTATATAGGTTACAAACAGTGTTGTAGTTCTCATACTCCATTCTACAGTACAAGTCATGTACTTCTTTAGAATACTTGTCCATGTACTCGCACTCGTACTAGAATATCAAAATACTCGGACTCGTACTCATAGGTTCAACAACCCTGACCCAGCTTCACAAAACTTATAATAGAAGGTCCAAGTACTTAAAATCAGATACCTGTACTCGTTCTCAAGGGTCAAAGCACTTGGATGTGAGTGGTACTCAATAGACCTTTTTCATGCTGCCACCATTTCAGTCATGTTCCCTGTATCCAATTAACAGTACTGAATGATAATGTTTTTGTGAAAAAAAAGGAATTAGATTATTTTTCCTTCCGGCCTCGCTTTGTTTACGTTGATTTGAATGGGAAAAATCCAAATGGCCGCAACATGATAATGGTCGATAGCTTAGTATTCAGCAATACTTTGTACTCAGATAAAAGTACTTGACTACAACACACGGGTTACTCCAACACTCGGATTAACCTGTGAGCCCAACCCATGATTTGTTTGACTTGATTCCTCCTGTCAGGGTGTTTGAGCATGCAACCAGGCTCTCTGCTTCCTCTCACCCATACACTCTATAGCTGTGCCAAGATGTAGAGCAAAGAGCTACTCTAGTAGCTTGCTCCCACGTGCTGTATCTCTTTGGAACTCCTCGCCTAGTGGCTGTTTCCCTCGATTCTATGATCTAGCCTCTTTTAAGAGAAATAGCAATTCCTACCTCCAGCTTTCCTATTTTTTTTGTCTTCTTTTTAAACTTTCTAGCCCTTTGCCTAGAGTGGATTTTATAGCCTTGCTTGGGGCGATTTTGCATTAAAAAACATTACTGTTCACAAATCATATTTGAATTTCATACTAACAACAAGATCCAAATGTTCGTGCTATTTTGAAGTTTCACCCTGAAAAAAATTGAAATTGTGGGTTTTTTTTAATAGCTAATTTTCTTAGAATACAAATTTAAGTTATGCACTTTTCAATAAGACATAAACCGAAAATTATTGACCAACGTTTAGTTATGGAATGACTACTGTATAATTTCAAATTCAATGCATCTGTCATGTCTGGGGCCCAACAATGATTCAGTTCTCATGGATAGACTGATTATGGCCCACCTTTTAGGATTGTTAATGTTCCTGCAGAGTGGATCTCTCTCACACAAAAACCAAAAATCGATAAAAAGCAATTAATTTGTTAGGCCAAAAAAAAAAATATTCGGTCTCTGGTCAGACCAAAGTTCCGGAATTGACGCGGCCACGCGGCTTTTTTTTTTTTTTTTCAAGCTTGGATTGTACAGACAAGGTGGGGTACTATTTTGCTTTTTTGGTGTCCTCATGTACATTGGTGTCCTCCATAATTTGCCTTGGTGCTTTCGATCATTTGCCTTGGTGCAATTTCCCATTCCTTGGTGCTCTTTGGTAAAAAAAATTGAGGAGGTGCGGAAATAGAGGGCGCTGTTGGAGCTACCGCGGAACATTTTAGGAAAAAAAAAAGATCGACGCGCATGCTTAAAATCGACGCGCGCGCTGACCAGAGACCGACTTATTTTTTTTTTTGCCTTAAAATAAAACAATCACAGGTCAGAATTCTTTTGGAGAGAAAAAATTTGAAGTTCTTGAAGAGCATGAACATAACTTCTTCAAAAGGAATTTCTCATCATACACATTTCTTTCCCTTATTCAGCATTTGCTAGTGCAATGAACTTCTGTTTTGCTGCCCCAGGGTATAGTCAAAACACAACTGGAAAAAAACCTGCCGAATGTCCAAAAGGATCGATCACTTGGAACGATGCATGCAGCGTCTGAACAAAAGACTGAAACACGTCAACCGAGTGCAGTGACTGAGAGAGAAAAATCACTCAGACTTTGAATGACGACGACCGGAAACTGTCTGATTACTTGTTAGATTGAGGGATATTTGTTGGCTGTCAGTTTTGGCAAGGTGAATCAAGTTGCTAAATGAAGCAGTAAATTGCTGTGAAAAGATATCCTCCCAAACAAATCCCAAGCTGCAAAAACATTGAATCTGTCGGCTTTTGAGGTAATATTCTTGCACAAAAGTACGAAGAGATTGTCTGTTAAAATTCAGGAAAAGTTTTTGTACTTCTGCCGTAAATGAAAAACATAAAAAGACTGAAAGTTGATGTGAAAACATATATCTGAGAAAATAGAAGGTTGTTAATATCAAACAAATTTTTAGAGATAAAGGACAACAAAAGAACCAGTGCATTCCAGGTAAAAGTACTTGGACCGCGACCTCTGCACCAACCTTTATTGAACTCGATAGTACAGTGACAGGTGTAGTCTAGTATCCCGTCTTCACATGTGGCTCCATTCAGGCAGGGATCGGGACTGCAATCATCGATATTCAGGCAGGTTAGGGGAGTCTGGGTGACCAGACTAAACCCGGGGGCGCAGTAGCAGTCAAAGTCACAACTCTGGGAAGGTGACAAGCAGAGAGGCTCACAGACTTCAGATGGGAAACAACCATCGTGACTGATATTCCTGAAAAACCACGGGAAAAACAGTAAAAATTCAATTCATAATCAATTAATTACACATCAAAAAAAAAGAAAGGAATAAAAACGCTACTAAACTAATTTTTTTTTTAAGGGCAAACTTTTACGTAGTCTTAAGATTAGGCATTCACGTGTGCAGAGCCACACTATGCGGTACGAACGCCTGATATATCTGAACATGCGAAGTTTAGAAATTTTGACGTCATTTCGTTCAGAAATGTGGACTAAGCTGTTGATTGGCCAATTTGGCTGCCATGTTTTTGTAATACAACAACAGGTTAACGAAGACCCGATAGAAGGCGCCCGCTTAATGGTCAGACTCTGGAGGTCAAGACGCGTCTTGCTTTGCATAATTAATCGCCGAATCTGCGCGAATATCATAGATGCTTGTGTGCAAGCGGCTATTCCATAGATTAACTTTGACATTGTTGTCAATTTCATATTTCACATGATCTATTAACAAACTTTCTTTTAAATATCCAAAATTAAAACTGCAAGTAATTTCCCGGAGTTAAAAAGGAAAAAATACATCATTGGATGACCAAGAAAAAGAAATACAACTGAAACAAAGCTCAATTTCTTTTGTAAACAATTCGCTCTTTTCACGCTCCACCATTGGGCATGCAGAGCCTCGATCCGGCAACTTTACACAATAAAAATAGCCGGTTCAGTGATCTGATTTATTTTTTATTAATGGACGTACCTTTCAGCCCTTCCTTGTGTCTTGAAATTGATGAGTTCTGGTGGTTCGGGCGTGATGCTGTATGAGATGAATCGAAGCCCCTCGAAGCAACCCCTGAGAGAGGTCATGGCCGGGGTCGGGAATGGGTTAGGCAGGGTCGTAAGGTCGTCCACACCTCCTATCATGAGGGACGCAGCGTTTAGGGTCTGTGCTGCACCAGCTGTGAAATAAAAAGTAGAATTACAGAGGATTGATTGCAGAATGATGTGTATTGATTGTCATAGATGCACAATGCAGCCCTCTCTTGGTGAAAATGTGTACAGTCTATGCAGTGAGGCGCCATCTCTCTGGTGGCCATTCAACATTCTCTATGATACATTATGAGACTCCGCAGTTACCAGTGAAAACTCAGCAAACCCCATCATTAAGTGGTACAAGCATCAATCTAAAATTCAAAGTACAGTCGTCAGGTAAAGCAAAGCAAAATTGTCACAAATAACATTACTGCGATTTACATGAATAAACGCGTTGATAATTTTCTAGTCAGATGGATTTTCATGACACTTACGATAGGTGACCGATGCTAGCTGGCGCCCCTGCTCATCGTACATAGTCGCATCCGGACCTTCCCTGGTAACCCGTATGTACTTCCAATCTCCGTCATTGTAACGCTGGCCACTGGATGGTGTGGTGGCAAACATCCCATCTCCGGTACCCTGGATAAAATGATAACATAAAAAAACCAGTATTAAATAATAATTTAATGTAGACCCTATAGAGGGGTTTAAAGTTAAAAGTGATTACTGGCTCCATGCGCCAACGAAGAGGGCGCTTTTCACCACTTCCAAGAGCCCAGTGGACAGGAAACATTGTGTGCGCTTACTAGTCCAGCGGCCTCCGCTAACTCTCCCTCTCTTACCATTGAGGGGGTACTTTTGCACGGAACTCATACCAGGTGAATAGACACATAGAAAAATATCAAGTGGCACGGTTCATCTTTTCGACCACTTTTTGCCAAGTAGAAAGTGATTTTCTAGTGGAGTGCAATGGCCTCACCGTCTGCAGGCATGCAATTGGGAATTTAGAAAAAATGCGGAAATTCCAAACTACACAAGACTTTGTTTTGTAATGGCATTCATGAGAAGTAAAAAACGAGGAAATCAGCCGATCCGAGGAAAAGTTACATGCCTGGGTCTGGAGCATTGAATTTGTGGTCTGCAGGTAATTCTGCAGGTTGTGGGTTCGAGTCCAGCCTAGGGTTGTGGTGGGTGTGCCCTTGGGCAAGGCACTTTGTCAGTCACTGCTTCTCTCCACCCAGGAGTAAATGGGTACCTGTGAGGGCAGAGATGGTTATTGTGGTTGATTTTAGCTGCTTTGCGCCGAAATGGCAGCATCGAGCTGTATACTCCCCAGGGAGCTGAGATTGTTTTTGGGATGTTTAATTGGCCCAATGAGCAGGGTAATAATGATGTAACACCTTGAGCACGAATACTAGTGGATATGTGCACTTTATAAATACACACATTATTATTAACATTAAATTAAAATCATTTGCACACCAAAATCAGATAAAAAGGGTTTAGTTGGGTTCAGATGTTTGTCAAAATCAAGTGAAACGAACTTTCACATTGTGACGCCCAGTTAAAAAGTGGAGAAATCACAAGGCAACTATGAATCCAAACATCATCAGAATCAAGTCTGTCAAGAGGAACCTCAGGTGTCTCAAACAACAAAAAGGTACGAGAATAGGTTGCTAGGAAGAAGAGACCGACCCTAGTGTTGAGCCCGAGGACTAGTCTTCCTTGATCCATGTAGACAGTCAGGTAGGCCGGGCCTCCAAAATAAAACAGCATGCCGCTGGAAGCTCTGAAATAAGACACAAAATAAGAAAGTCTAAATCAGTCTTCAAAAACATGGCAGAGTTAGGAGTCATCTGGATAAAGATTTCGGAAAGGTTGCGGAAATAGTTCATCCACAAATAGGCCCATTTTTATGGGTATTTGTTGCAGATTTATGAACCAGTTAATTTTCTCCCGTAATTTACCCTCAATGAATTTATCGGTGTGTGTATTCGATGCCAATGACTTCATCACAGGAAGATTACAGGGAAGTTGATCAGAATCCAGGAACTATTACCTTATCCATTCGGCCAATTGCGGGTCAAGTTTATCTTAAAGGCAGAGTAGATCTTTTGCAGCTATTCAAAAGTAGCTGACCAAATTATTGTAAAAAATAAAGCTTATACTTGGTTTAAAGATAGTAATGGCACTAAAATCCCTGTGAAATTATTCCTTCTGGCATGGTGCCATTTTGAAGAACACAATAAAAGAAGGTCATTTCCAAAGATGAGTCGAGTGACGCATTTTTGGAAATTTCCGTTAGTAGTTGTTTTGTAATTGGGCTAATACGTGAATGGGTGCACGTGAGCGTAGACATGACGCACAAGCGCGCGGTTGTTATCATTCGTCGGTTCACTGCGTGAAATCGCGTAGCTGCAATCGCCTGATTGCGAATGTGTTCCGGATGCTGATTTTGGGCACAATTCAAATATGACTCTGTAAATTTTAAATTGCAATTGAGACCCTAGAAACTTGTTTTCCTCAGAATATACAGTATTCACAGAGCTAAAACTTAGTTGTTATTCACCCATCTTTAGATTTTGAGCACTTTTGTTGCTTCAAACGAAACAAATGCACAGATGACAAGTTATCTTCTCCACCTTTAACTTATCCCAGAAGTTGAATGAGACAGATCCTTAAAACCTCTGGTTCGTCATTTGTGAATTTAAGCTTTTAGCCCGCAGGAAGTTTTCTCAAACACAGAAACCTATATTTGGTAAATCCAACACTAAAGGGGTCTGAAAATCCGCTGTTCAATTGAAAATCCAATTTACTGGTGACAATCTGTGTCTTTTTAACAATAATAAGAACAAACAAACAGACTGCTACAATGAAATATACTAATTCTGAATATACGTGGTTGTGAATGTGGATTAAAAATGTTTCGTTCAAATGAAGTTCTAATTTTACCAATCATGGTCCTGGCAAATTATTATTATTTTTTTGGTTCTTTATAAAAAAAAAATTATATTTAGTTGTCCGTCAGTTTGGGATTAAACATCCCCTGAAGAGTCCGATTTTTAATAACAAAAATACCATTATCTACGTCATCATGTGTCAGGTTATGGGAATTCGTGGGATGGTTTTGAACCAAAATAGTTGTTTTTAATAGGATTTAATAGGTTGTTTGACTTTAAAAATAGTAGAATTGCCTCCAGCATGTCCAGGAAATATAAAGCTTATTCATTCTTTTTCGATGATTACAAATATCTGAATTCATTAAGACACAATACGTACATCTAATCCTTGCAATATAGGGCGAGTCAACAAGAAAAAGTGACCAAATTAGGAAAAAAAAAACATTTCAAAAAATACAAGGCTCACTCTATTTCATAAAAATAACACAGGGATAAAGTACATGTTATTGACTGATTACTGTGAAAATTCCACCTAATTTGCATACTCTAATCCCAAGTTATGTCTATTTTAATAAAAAAGGTCACAGAATTCAGCTGTCCACCACTGATCATTTACCGTTCTACAAACTGATGAATACCCATTACATACAATGAAAACAGAAAACGTTTTCCCACTTCCATGAATGAACGAAAATTTGCAAAGGAAAACAGACAAAAATCGCCATCAATATTCCGGAAAAAAAAGTTGACTTAATCCATATTCAAAACAAAATATCTGACAGTAAAAACAATGTTTCACTCTTGACTCAAATGATTAAAATCAATTTGCATATTTGTAATGGGTGTGTGTAATCTGTAATTCTCACTCAGCTCAATAGCGTCCAATGGCATTCCATTGATAGCTATAAAAATAGGTTCTTATAGTAAAACATACATTTCTTCTGATAGCATGGATCAATTTCAGTAATTTTTTTCTTGATGAGTGGAAGAACATGCTCTTTGTACCAGTTCGTGTCGGATGCAAGTATACACACAAAGGTTTTGCGGTATTCAGAACGGATGACTGATAAACCCGCATCAAGCGAGGCCAGAAATATCTGTTAGCGACCCGCTCGCAGCGAGCGAGGCCGGAAATATCAGGGTGTTCTACCCACAGATGACGACCCGATCCCGTCTGGCATCGATCTCGTGAAAAATAATCCTGCGCCTGGGTCCAGTCACTGTCAAAATAATCCCGGCGCGAACTGGTTAAGACTTACTTCATTCGAGTATGGGCCTTATTCACGAGTCGGCCATAATTGAACTGAAAGTGAGGTGAAATCTTAATTTTTTGAACTTGCAAAGAGAAATGAAACCAAATTAGTTTCTATTAAGTAATTTCAGTCTGCTTCAATGAATATTTTAAAATTTGTAATTAAACATTCCCTAATTTTTAAAGCCAGATTTAAACCAAAAATGACAGTTAATAAGGCTGCATTATGCCTGCATAAATAGTCTGGCGCCATCCCATTCAACAGTTAACAATTAATGAAATACATTCAGGGAACTCGACAAAAATGGCCAACTCGTGAATAAGGCCCATACAATTTGATCGCATTTTAAGAAAAAAAATCATCATTAAAATCCTGGTCAATTTCTTTTTGACTCACCCCGTAGTTTCCTCGTTTGGTGTGAGGTACTTACTTTGTACGGAACCGCAGACTCAGGATAGTCCTGGTTCCTGGGGTCAACGGGTGCTCAATAGTCAAGAATCCATCACTGCTCTGGACTGTGACGACAGTGGGCGGGGCACAGAAGTCCACAGGGGCGGGGCAACCATCTTTGACCCCGTGGAGGTCATCAGCAAGGTCAAAGTTCAGAGTGTTTTCACTTGTTCTGATGTAGTCAACACATGTGACTAGGTAGCCATTTAGCCTCTCCGTGTTTACCTGAAACAGCAAATGAAAAAAAAAAACCAATCTTTTTTTTTTTTTAAATGCATTTACCATTACTCTGCAAGATTTCATCATCTTTTGCAAAATTGTAATATGACATCCTGACAGATATTTCTTTTCATATTATTCTGGTGAGATGTTCCCTTATCTCACAAACGGAAGTGTCATTTATATAAGATTGTGAAACAACGACAAGAAATCGTTGTTGACAAAATCACGTGCAAGAAATGAAGAATGTTGGTTATCAGTTGCGACTTCGTCGATTTCCCCTGCAAGCCCTTGAATATCTACAGAACATGCAGTTGACGACAGGGCATTCATCACTTCGAACTAGTGAACGTGATCAACATCAACTACTAGCTGAGAAGTCGCATTAGTTTGGGACGCACTGCATTCATTGATGATGGCATGTGTTAACTACCATGCCCATTGCTCGAGAAACAACATGACAACTGCAATTGTCATCATACTTTGGATTCTTGATTTTATCTGTAGGCTTCTACAACAATGCTTTCAATGCTCAGTTTTGTTTTTATTCAAAAGCAGGGATGTCGTGATTAGGCCAAAAAAAAAAAAAATTCGGTCAGACCAAAGTTCCGGAATTGACGCGGCGACGCGGCTTTTTTTTTTTATTTCTTCAAGCTTGGATTGTACAGACAAGGTGGGGTACTATTTTGCTTTTTTGGTGTCCTCATGTACATTGGTGTCCTCCATAATTTGCCTTGGTGCTCTCGATCATTTGCCTTGGTGCAATTTCCCATTCCTTGGTGCTCTTTGGTAAAAAAAATTGAGGAGGTGCGGCAATAGAGGGCGCTGTTGGAGCTACCGCGGAACATTTTGAAAAAGAAGAAGAAGATTGACGAGCATGATTAAAATCGACGCGCGTGCTGACCAGAGACCGACTAATTTTTTTTTTGGCCTTACAAAACAATTAAGTGATACACGTGTGCGGGGGAAGCAAGTTTTTATACTGCGAACAACAAGTCTTCACAGAATGCGTATCCGTCTCTTGCAGAATAAAGCAAACCGTCGATATCAGAATTGTCACTAATCGATATATCGGAAATCCAACATCAAGAGTATTCGATAAGTCGATTATCCCACGTAAAAGTTAAAGACCATAACGCTCTGCCTCAACATATTGACAGTGATTGCCGGAGGATTTTGCGGGATTGAGGCAGTGGTCACCCCTCCAAGGACCACATTCAAGAAATAATGGAGGATTTTGCAGGTTGTGCAATTTGTACATGGAGGCAGTTGGAGGATTTTGCAGGATTGAGGTTGCATCCAAGCAAAAATGCCTACGGAGTTTGGGATAAGACCTAAGCTAGAGTTGTACCAAATATATAAATTTTCTTTCACAGCAAATATTTTACTTTAGTTCTTTTAAATTGGCTTTTGGCTCTGGATGTAACAATGTAATTGCCCCCCACAGAAGGTACCAGCCAAAACTTCATGTAATGCACATTGCTTGCCCCTGGTACTTCGCTGATTTATGCTTAGCTGGACAAATTACTAAGCAGTATTTTTCTTTAAACAAGGAGCTCTTTGAAATCGGCCCCTTGTTGTTCACAAGAAATCTCAATGACATGATGTATGCGTGATGTCGTCTCTTTGATCATTTGGATGTCCCTTGAGGCTTTGGGGGAAGGGGGGTGTTTAGTGTTGTCTCAGGAAGAGGGACTGTAGAAGTAGAATCATGGGGGGAGGGGGTGGGTAAGAGTTGCCTCAGGAAGAGAAACTGTAGAACTGGAATCATTTCAGGATGTTTTCCTTTCCTGACAGGAAGGAAGACGTTTTTTCCTTCTTCTGACAAATATCTTCTGACATGTTCCTGTTGTATCTCACATGATTCACACAGACAGCATAAATATTTGAAACGTTTGCTTCTTTTCTGAATATATAGTTGTCTTAAAGGGAATATACAGCATTTGCTTCTGCTGTAATTTTCAGAAATGGATGGGGGGGGGGTTCAGTCTTTTATAGCACGTAGTGTTACACTGACTTGTTTGAAGTTTTTTGCTCACAGATGCTGGAAAAAACCAAGACAAACAATCATGTTCCTGTGGTCCCTGACCCCACTTAAGATGAAACGAAGCAATTCATGGATGTCGGGGCATTGTAAGGTCAGGGAACCAGTCTAGCTGGCTTGTACCCGTTCATAGGTGTGTTATTCGATTGGACACAAAATAAAGACTCACTAAATATGGAAAATTGGGGGCAGTATTTGAAATAAACCAGTTTTTTTTTTCCAATGCTGGTCGGCCGACCAGCGTTGGAAATTGATACAAATATACAATGTACCACTTTTCTTGAAAATGACAGCACACCAGGTGCCACGATATTACAGGATGCTTTAGACTGTCATTCACTAAAAACAGTCCAGTAAGGTATTTCATAATAATTGCGTAGTTTTTTTTTTTTTTTTTTATGTTTGCAAATGTTGTATATTCCCTTTAATTGAGGTTTGTGCTTTTGTTTTTTTTTTGTTTTTTTTGTTTCTTCCTTAAAACAAAATCTTTTAGTGTGATGATCAGTCTAAACTGCATGTACATGTACCCAACTATCCATCCACTAAACATCGCATCCTCTCTAAAAGAAGACTTTTAAAAACAACAATCATTCCGATAAAAATTACGGCTCAACAAATTCGCCCAACTTACTCTCAGATCATTGACGTCTGCATAGCCTCCTACGAACACCGCCCCCATGAGTTGAGAAATGTTCAGTTGTCCTTGTGAGATTGGAGTGAGATACTCCACGCTGCTTGGCATGCCATTGATTGTGGCGCTAGTTGCCTGGGGGGAGCCTAGGTTGAAGATGACTACAGTGTAGGTGGTGTTGGGACTGAGGGAGCCGTCTCCTATATACACCTGCAAGAAAAGCAAAGACACGCTTGTTCGTCAAATAACGATGACAAGGAAACTTCTTTGTCGCTGGGCGAGTAACTTGATTACTGAAGTACACACGAGTAGTTTATGCTACACGTCCTTCTACTTGTGTTTTTTCGTCTACTCGAGTACTCGTCCTTGCGCGAGTAGAAACAGGAACTCCCGAGTAGCAATTTAGGGTTTATGGTTCACAGCTTAAGACGTCCCCTGCAAACAGGGAATCACTCCCTCCACCTCTCTCTCCCTAGGATTCCATTCGTAAATAAAAAAAATAAATAAAACCAAACTCAAGTTAATGACCCAAAAGTCGCACGGTAAGGATATATCAGTGCTGAAGAATGTAGTGCAACTTGCACGCTACTTGCTGGTAGGTACTTCCCGTCATACTAACCTGTCATTTTTTTTATGGGAATTTGGCTAACTACTCACGAGTACTCGACTACTTGCCAGTAATTCTTTGCGAACACTCGAGTGAAAAATTCTACTACTCACCCAAACCTAGTTCCTGTTCTATTCTTAAAAGCGCACCACTAGTTTACAGACTTTATAGATGGAAAATACAGGTAGTTTGTATCATAATATAACTGGTTTACAGTTGGAATTTTGGTTAAGATTGGAATATTTGAATAGTTTTACAAAACTGGAAATTGATTTAGAATTGGAGTATTGGTTTTACAATTGAAGTAAACTGATTTACAATTGGAATAGTGGTTTCAAATTGAAATGTTATGAACTGAAATTTTTATTGACATAGACTGTGGAGTTTGTCAAAATCGACTGCAGCACTTAAATGTCGTTTTCTTATTGGGCGATCGTTGCGTGGAAACTTGCATAGTGAAACGTGGCACTGTACAATGTACATACACGTACACGTTGTGTGTCTCTGCACAAGGCACCAATGCACAAAAACTGTGGTTTTTGTCATGTCCGCAAAAGGCGAATAGCTACAAAAATTTGATGACGTCCGGATTTACCAAGGTGTGATCGGACACTCCACATATTAGCCCTGCCTACACTTATCTGTATTCGCATACGAGGTCGTGCGCTAGAAATCCAGCGCAAAATAAAGAAAAACATAAGCTTTTGCCGACGATTGAACCAAGGCGCTAGATTGGGTCCAACTGATTTGCATAGAAATGGTGGCCGCGTGAGGTGGCTGTTCGCGCTGTATTTTTAATGCACCGCATGCATAGCGCTAGCGAGGATAGCGTTTACCACGCTACGGCCGGGATGAATAACCCTAGCGCCTTGACCAAGGCTAGGGTTGCGTGCAACTCTGGAATGATGATGCAACTTCAGTGGGTTTTTTTATATCCTAATATGGGCGTCGTTGCGGTATTTAACGGAGTATACACAACCCAGATTGACAAGGTACATCTGTGTTCTTACAGTATACAAAGCTTTCAAGATTTTACAGGAACACCGTTGACGTGTGGTTTCCTGCGTGACTTACTGACCGAGGGACCATTAAAACCACTGCCCTGGCCAAGGGCTTAATCTGCAAAGTCACACAAGAGGGGATTTTGAACTTGAGCCGGTTGATGTGCTCACAACAGCTTCTGTTTTCCATCTATCTACCTTTATTGTGTTTTGATTATTCACCGAGGGAGTCATCTGCACAGCTGTTAAGGATCTCTGAATGTGACTGACTACACCCCATGGATATGAGACTTCTTCCACTCAGTGACATGGCTTTGAGAAGTTGTCATGGCTAGGGCTTTCAGACTAGGACACTCTACTCAAAGAGCCTTAAATCCATTTCAAATAATGAGTGTCCAAAGCTATGGCTATGTCGGTTGTGGGCATGTGCCAACATTACCGGTAGTTGTACATACTTGTAAGAGATAAAGGCTAAGACAACAGCTCTACACAAGAGCAGAGATGAAACTGGCCAAGGCAAAAAAAATCTGAAATTGGACGTTGGGTCCGAGCTGCCAAAGCGTCGCGCAGTGCAGAGCAGCGCAGTGCATCAACGTGGGACCCAGTGAATTTTTCCACGTCATAGGTCAGTATTTAACCTTTTCTCCAGCCGGAAAAGGATCTGATCAGCGTTGGCCTAGGGGTGTTTCTACCATAGAATCACTCCGTTCACCGGTTTAAAACTACTACACTTGTGAAAATTTTACGTGCCGTTTTTATTGACTTTTCATGGACTTTTTTGGGGAAATTATAAAAAAAAAATTGTGGAAAAATCGTTAAATAATCATTTTTGTGAGATTGTTAAAAAATCTGAAATTTCAGTGGAAAAGTAAAAAAAAATCTAATTTTAGATTAAAATCTGAAAAGTTTCATCTCTGCACAAGTCCAGGGCCAATTTCACAGAGCACTCCTTGCACTTAACAATTCTAAGCAAACAAAATTTGTGTTTAGCAAATCAGGTTATCATCAAAATTTCATGGGACGTACCGTACATGGTACGGTGTCAGTAACTACATGTTGCTCTTAGATGTAGCTGATTTTCATTCAGCGCATATACATGTACATGCGTGTCCAATGTAGCAGTCGAACAACATTTTTTTCTGAGGAAACTACGGTACATTGTTTTTTGTGCCTGTAAACAATTACCATGAGATGATAGAGTGTTTCTTTACCCTTGACGGGATTTTTGTTCTGTGTGATTTTCACCTTTTGTTTAAAAGTTACGCCAAAAGCTTGTAAAGACTGTCAAAATCCGTTTGGGCCACTTTCTTATTGTCCACAAATCTTACCTGTTCACCAGTTGGTAACGTGGGTTGAGGATTTTTCCTCAGACAATGATTTGAAAGCAACAGCTTTGTAAGTAACAATTCTGTGACATAAGTACTTACTTTATTAACTATAATGTCCATTTTTTTCAAAAGCATAACAACAAGTCAAGTTTATGATGTGAATGTAAAGTGGATAAAATGAAATTGCGCTTGTTTGGTTTGAAGTGCAACAACATACCTTCTTGGTATGTGAATGCCTTTCATTAGATACCAGATATTCTGAAAAGTGGCCCAACTTGGAATTCAGGTGCTATCATTTTATCTCTGGACTGGGGTGTCCAAATGAGATGTGATAAAGCCCGGTGTGTACAGTACTACAGATAAGTTTTGCGAAAAGAGAGTGCAAGAATTTTATATATTTATGGATTGACTGCTACATTTTTATTGACACACGCTGCATTTTCTAAGTAATATTTTCTACTGGGGGTAGCTCTGTCCAATTGAGCTAAGTTATGAACTCACTGCGACTCACCGACACTAGTGATTAAGACTCACTGAGTTACGAGTAGGTTAGAACTCAAACAACTCTTTTAAATCAATTAAGATTCAATCCATAAGACTTAGGCCTATATTTCACAATCACTCTCAAACGCAAAACTGGGTTTAAAGGGAATGTACAACATTTGCTTTTGCTTCAATTTTCATAAATACATGGATTTGGAGGATTTGGATGTTATAGCAAATTGTTAAAATGACTTGTTTCACGTTTTTGGGCTTGTGGATGCTGGAAAAACCAGGAAAACCATTCATGTTCTTGTAGTCTGGTTCCTTGACCCCACTTAAGATGAAACGGAGAATTTATAGACTTTGGGGAATTGTGAGGTTAGAGAATCAGTCTAGCAGGCTTGTACCCCTTCACAGGTGTGTAATCAATTACAAAGAGTTTTTGCAGTTTTTGCAGCAAAGAGTTTGCAAGCAGTTTTTGAAAAAAAAGGCCAGTTTTCTCCAACGCTGGTCGGCCAACCATCGTTGGAAAAAAACATTTTTCTTGAAAATGTCAGCACACCAGGAGCCACGATCTTACAGGATGCTTAAGACTGTCCCTAACAATCCAGTAAGGTATTTTGTGACAATCTGATCATTTCGTTTTGTGAAGTTTGCAAATGTTGTATCTTCCCTTAAATTAAAGACAAGTGCAAGGGAAGTTATGAGCACCTGACCGCAGCTTGTGTAAACTTGATTTCGTCTGGTCTGACCCTTTAAGTGTCGTTGACCTTATCAGGGCATAGACCCTTCAACGCTGGCGACAAAAATCAATATCAGACGAACACAACTTGGTCGCTGAAAACCCCCAGCCAACCAAACGTATCTGACCGTGATCTTGAGGTTCCGCACGATTATACAGACTAATACAATTAAGGGTTCACCTTTCAATGATTACCGATGTAGTACTAGTACTTACTGTTCTCCGAGAAAATTGGAATTGATTTTTTGGTGACCTGCATTTACCAGGGGAAAATTGAGTTACTGGGGCAACAGCTGAAGTTGTTTGTGTAACGGGTGTGTCTGGACTGACTATCCTCGATTGATACAGAAATAAGGACATACATGTAAAGGTCATAAAGTAGAAAGGGGTTGGGGTTGTTGGTTTGAACTCCTAAGCAGGGTAGAAAAACCAAACTGAATGGAACAACAGGAAAACTGGAACACATGCAGAAAATTGAGGGAGTGTTGCGAAAGTGTGATGCTGGGTATACGACTCCTAAAAGCCTGAAAAGTTGACCTGTAAAGGTCACGGCGATGTAGCGCCAATCCTGGCGATTATAAAGTCAAAACCTGCACTGTTTGCTTATTTAAGTTTGAAGTGTCTTAAGACTGCATTGAGACAAGTTTTGTAGATGCCGGAGGGTAACAAGTAAATCGGATCTGTGTGAACCAAATCATTTCAAGGGACATGATGATACAGCGAGTGGTGGGATTTAAATCCGGATTTTTTAACATTTGGTCCACTTTTCAGTTGGGATTTGGATAACTGATATTCGAAACCAACCTTTAAAAAATACTGCAAGTTAAACTTGTGCGATCCCCTTGGCAATTGCTGGCAGATTTATACAGTCAGTTAGTAAGCACACTTTTCAGTTGACCTAACCACATCAACAAAGACCTCATTTGACCCCTAGATGACCTTTGACCTCAAATGTCTCAAATCATCTGAAGTCCCCCACCCAAAGATTATTGTCACAGAGTTTGGATGAGATTGAAGTCCGACTTTTCATATGACAGTACTAAGCAGTTAACCTAACCAAAATGGAACATGCATACAGGTACACAGACTCTTGTTTTGCTATACTCCTGAGGACAATGCTTTGTGTTTCCCTTTGTCCCTGTAGTATAACACTCTCCCATAGACTAAGCACATGATCGTACTACAGAGGACTGTTGTGAACAAAAGACCCAACGTCCGAGGACTGAAAGGATCTGTTTTTCTCCCTTTGTGGTCGGTCCTCCGGGGTTATACATGTACAACACGTACACACGGACAGACTTTTGCAAGATCCTCCTTTCTTGACTAAAGCCAGCGGGATAAAAATTAAGCCTTCCATTTTTGTGACCCAGGCTAAAGAAAACAACTGGAACATCCCCCAATTTGCTCCATGATCTCAGATTGTAACTGCAATTACAATAGAGTTCCCGTCCATTTTATTCAACATCACATCTCTGTCGGAGTGTTTTGTAAATAAAAAGCCCAGTGGTCATTGAATCCTGCAAACTATACCCAGTTACCGGGAAGGCATTTCCTGCGAAACCTCCCTTGTCACATTGACTCTGAGCTCGATGCGAACTGCTGGTGAAATCAGATAACCGTTATAATATTCGGTTTGAGAAAAATTAGGATAACTGGATTTCAAGTAGAAATCTCTGATTTCTCCCACCACTAGCTAGTAGATACAATAAGGTACAAGCACAGCAAAAAAAATAAAAAATTAGGATAATACATGAAATTCACTGTTCTTTTAACACCACTGTACCTGAATTTCACTTTTTCCCCCTTACAATGAGTGGAACCGGGGAGGAAATGCCATAACAGGTTGGGGTTGAAGAGACGTTTAGACTAGCCACTAGTCTCAAGTGGGCAGCTGCTTATCAGCTGAGCACTGGGGCAAAAAAGAGCCTAAGGGGGAACAGGTTGGATGTATGGATGTACATGTAGCAGGTGGATTTTACAGGTGGAATTGGATATTCAGGTCCATTATTCTCATAGTTATGAGGTAGAGACATTCTCAATGTCTAAACGTTCCCCACTCTTAGACACAGTTTCAATTATTAAGGCCAGTTCACTCACGGATAAGGTAAAAAGGGACTTTTAGTACATTTTTTCACTCTGGCAGTTTTAATCGTGGAGGAATAAACTTGTAAGGTCACATAAATATATTTTCTGTTGTATTTTGGGTATTGTAAAGTATACTTTACAATGTACATCTGTATTTTTTTTATATTTTTTTTTATACATATTTTAGGGTAAATCATGTTACTTATTTATGAAATGTGTAAAATCAGATTTAAAGGAAAAACTCACCATTGTTTTATTTTTGTTTTGCTTCTGTTGATGTTTTAAAGGAATATACAACATTTGCTTTTGCTGTAATTTTCAGAAATGGATGGATTTGGGGGTACATTGTAAGTATTTCATAGCAAATATTGTTACACTGGCCCGTTTTAAGTTTTGTGTTCACTGATGTCGGAAAAACCAAGAAAAAAATGCTGTTCTGGTAGTCTGGTTCCCTGATCCTGCTTCAGATGAACTGAAGCAATTTATAGACGTCAGGGAATTGTCAAGTCAAGACACCCTGAGACTAGCTTGCTTGCACCCGTTCAGGGATGTGTAACCAAATTGCAAACAAAATGTGGACTAACTAAATTTGGTAAATTGGGGGCAGTATTTGAAAAAGAAAAAGTAGTTCTCTCCAACAATGGTGGGCTGGCCATCGTTAGAAATTGATACAAAATTCCACTTTTGTTGCAATATGACAGCACACCAGGTGCCATGATTTCACAGGATGCTTGAGACTATTATTCACTTACAGTCAAGTAAGGTACCGGTATTTCATAATAACTTGGTAGTTTTGTGTTTTGATTTTTGCAAATGTTGTATTACCTTTAACAAACAAACAGCTGACTAAGCATAACTTGGACACTTGACCACGGTACTCAGTCAGCCTTGCAGAATCCCTAAGTGACCCGTTACTGACCAGTAATGACCACTGAATCCCCTCCCCTCCTGACCGGATAGGACCAACAGGAAGAAATCTATTTCACACATATCCTCAATTAGATTAAGACATCCAACCCTCTAAGGAAGACCAACACAGAGATGCATCAAAGGAACAACGTCCTGCTCCTTGAAGATCTTGAGCTTAACGTTAAGTCATGTGTAGCCTGGCATGTCATTGTTGGTGAATTATCTGTGAAATAAGTTCTTCCTGGATCATGTTCATTTTCCTGAGCCTGCAGCTTCATATGCACAATAAAGTAACAAAACTGCAATTCTTGGTTGCCATTGTCGTTTCAGAATGACATCGGCTTTTTTTTAAGCATCAACTTTCAAGTTATTTCTTGCTATATTTTGGTCATACAAACTAGGAAGCTGTCTGCAGTAGCACTTTTACACTCGCGATGTCAGCAGATAAAACGAATCTTACAATTTGAAAATATGTGCGCTAAAAAGTAAGTTAAAAAACCAAAACTAAAAACCACAAACACAAAAAGTAAAAGGGAAAGGAAATACGACTTTAAGCCCAATTTCAAATATGCCTCCAGATTTTTTAAATCTAAAAATTAATGTGGCCTGACGTTGCGAACGTCAGATTTTTTATGAAAACTTCAGAAAAGCATGAAGAGAAAATACAAGCAGGAGCTCCACAGAGCTATGAAATTAATATCAAAATTAAGTTGCTTTACATTTGACTCCATGTAAAAACATTAACAGCCTGCAATTTACTTCGTTGGCCACAACACAGAGCTATGAAATGGATATTAATCGACTGAATATTCGAATAGCTTTCATATTCAAAAACAAAAACAATTATGCACATACACACATGACTGTGTTGTTATTTTATCGTAAAGCTGTGGTGCTTTATTTTCAGATGCCACTTTTTTTGTTGACGGTAACTGTTTTGGTCCAAGGCGGTTCGTTGTTCCCATGCTTTAGCAAGTTTAAAACACTCCAGTGGCTCATATCGATCACCGCACGTGCTCTGCATACAACTTTTGACCGGTGCGGCACAAAGTTGCGGGTGGCAGTTTCGAATTTCCAAATATTTGGTCAAACGCAGTTTTAAGTAATCGAATACTAAATTATTTGCCAATGAACAGCCCTATCAATCAGTGTGCGCAAGTTTAAAGGGAAAATACAACATTTGCAAACATCAAAAAATAAAACTACCAAATCATTTTGAAATACCTTGCTGGACTGTTAGTGAATGACAGTGTAAAGCATCCTGTAAAATCATGGCACCTGGTATGCTGTCATTTTCAAGAAAAGTGGTATTTTTGTATCAATTTCCAATGCTGGTCGGCCGACCAGCGTTGGAAAAAAACTGGCTTTTTTTTCAAATACTGGCCCCAATTGACCATCGCACTTGTTTGCAATCGATTACACACCTATGAACGGGTACAAACCAGCTAGACTGGTTCCCTGACCTTACAATTCCCCAATGTATGTAAACTGCTCTGTTTCTTCTTATATAGAGTCAGGGAACCAGACTACAGGAAAATGATTGTTTTTCTTGGTTTTTATAGCATTTTCGAACCCAAAACCTCAAAAAAGTCAGTGTAACTATATTTGCTATATATTTCCAACCCCCCAATTCCATCCATTTCTGAAAATTACAGCAAAAGCAAATGATGTATATTCCCTTTAAACCATGGAGGTAGGAAACATGTTTTATAGGATGAAATTTTTTAAAGTTACAGGGCACAAGTTCATACCTCAATGAGAGAGCCAGCGGTCACCTTCCATTCCAAATAGATCTTGCCGCCGCTGATACCCAACGCAAAGAATAACGTCTGCTGCTGCGGGCCTGATCCGCCATCTTGGTAGATCAGCATGCCATGGTCGTTGCAATAACGGAATTGGAATTCTAGAACAGACTCCGCCCCTCGAAGCTGATTGGTGGATGTGTCTATGATGTCATTGTATTTGATGTACGCATCGATGTCGATGAACTTTTCGGTTGATTGGGTGTGAGAGAAACTTATCAATGAAGCTGTCAAGGAAAACAAAATTAAAAGTCGTAATTTGTACATGAAAGGAAAGAGAAAAGGACTATCATAATTATTTTAAAAAGCCAGAAATTTGCAAATTGATGTGCAACAGAAATCAATCCACTCCAAGTGAGTGGTCAGGTACACAAATTAGGGTCAATTCCCATGCTACAAGTAAATCAAGATAAAGTCAGTGACAAACAGTGGGCTTGATGCCAAACAACATCAGCTTCCACGTTGTTGATGTGAAATGCGGGAATTTCACATTTTTCTATTACAATTCTGCCTCCGAATTTGGCATCCAAGAAGACAGTGCATACAATACATGTTTTCAGTAAACTGCTGTAAAACTCCCTTATCATGTTCCTAGAGATTCAAATCGTTCACCCACTGTGAAAAATATATGCGTAGAACTAGAAACCAAACTTAGTTCCGAAAGTGATCTGGAGCTTGAGTTCAAAGGCTCCTTGCACTACCCCATCAGTGTTTTGTTATCAATTTCACTACTTTGATATCTTTTGGACATCTGTCATGCTAATATCAAATTGTCAAGGCAAAAGTTATAAAAATTCCACTTAAAATTGCTCTTTTATCTTTAAAGCCCATCCAGTTTGTTTCTATATTCTGGCTGAGAAATGTTCCCAGAAGTCGTCTTAGTACCCGGCATGGCCACAGACATTGGGACAACAACCAAGATGTTGTGGTACTCACAGAAATAACGTGACACTAGAGAGGTCCTTAGAAAGGGATTGAAAATCTCACTCCCCCCCCCAGCCCTACAGACACAGGAAGGGGGGGAGGGTGGCGCAAAAAAACGCCAAAGGAAATCTCAGTTCCTTTTGCCTGCTTAGTCAAGGAGGCCTCAACTTTCATATTGTAGCTTTCCAAGTGTGGCTGGTTTTCGCTGGATTTGCAAGTTTGCCCACCGCCACGACTCCCATCAAGTGAAATCACACTTGACTTGTGGGAGGAAACGGGCACGGAAACGGGCTAAAGATCAGGGGGTGTGGGAGGTTGGTCATAATGTTGCTGTCAAAATATAAATCAGCCAAAGAATCTGACAGGGAAAAAAGGGGTTTAGGGGGTCTGACAAGGGGCTCAACTGGGAAAAACATGGTATTCAAACTTTAAAAAAATGAACACAACTTCTGAGTTCTTGGCCATTGAAAGATAATGAGTTTCAAACCAAGACAGTTTGAACAACAAAGACGGAATTTGTATTTTGAACAGAAAAAAAAGACTGAATCAGCATGTTGGATTCTGATACCTTCAGAAACACTATAAGTAATATTAAACAAGTTGGGAGAGAGAGAAAATCGACCAAAGTTTGGTTTTCCCATTATTATATAAATCTCATAAAACTGCATCGAACTTAAGCTGGCCAGTATTGTGTTTTAAATAGTGACTGTATTACCGAAAAGTGGTTTGGTCGTTGGTTTGTCATGGGTTCAGCCACTTGGCAACTTTCAGAGCTGTAAAGTATTAACTTGTGTTTAATTAAAGGTAATACACAAGGAATATTTGCTTTTGCTGTAATTCTCAGAGATTTTTATAGCAAATACACTGACCTGTTTAAGGTTTTGTGTGCATTGATGCTGGAAAAACCAAGAAAGGTGCTGTTCTTGTAGTCTGGTTCCTTGACCCTACTTCAGACAAAACATAGCAATTTGTGGCGTTGGGGAATTGTCAGGTCAGGGCCCAGACTAGCTGGCTTGCACCGCTCATGGATGTGTAACCGTTTGCAAACAAAATGTAGATGAACTAGATTTGGTCAATTGCGTGCAGTATTTGAAAAAAAATCATTTTTTTCCAATGATGGTCGGCGCAGACCATCGTTGGAAATTGATAAAAAAATTCCACTTTTCTTGAAAATGACAGCACACAAGTTGCCACGATTTCACATTATGCTTGACACTATTATTCACGTATAGTCAGGTAAGGTATTTCACAATAATTTTGCAGATTTGTGTTTTGATGTTTTGCAAATGTCGAGTATTACCTTTAACCACCCAAGCTGCTAAAACACTATGAACTCCCTGATCAGGAAAGCTATCAGCTACGACTGCCAAAAAGTTACCACGTTCATATTTATAAGCTTGGACTTACCGCAAATTAACAAGGCGCTGTGAATTATCCAACGACCCCAACTCATTGTTGCCTGACCTCTCCTTGACTACGGGGACGAACTTTGGGTCAACTCCAAGATCTCGGCAATGCAGACAATCTTGGCTCTGGACTGCCGTTCATTCTTGGCATTTCAACACTCTCTCCAGGTCTCCGGATTTAGACCCCTTGGCTTCACATGCAGGCTCGGCTGGGACCCATGTAGGACAATTTGGCTTGGATTCAAGATTTATTAATCGGCTGTAGACTGAAATGACTAGGTTCCTCACTTCGCACTCTCTTGGTAATCTGCAATGAAACATACAGTAGTAATATAATTTGGTTAGTAATATTATGCTACGATTCAAGAAAAGTCTGGTTGCATAGCTACAATTTATCAGTGATGTTCTGTGGACATTTTGAGAATGCCTGTTTGAAGTCATTCTGGCGTGACTAACATGGAGGTCACTGCTGTGTAATACCCATGAGCGTTCATTCTTCTTTTGGGTAACAAACGGGGGCTTACGCATGGTCATGATGTGCAGCCATACAGAACTCACTTCCTACGCCAATCATGGTCCAATGTATGCACTTAAAACTTAATTCTTTTTCTTTTTTAAGCAAAACAACTGATAGCTAAGCCATTTTTTTTTTTACTTACCATGATAAATTCAAATCAAAGGATGAGGTTAAATTCCAATTTTTTTAATGTTTTATATACTGTATTTATATTTTCGTGGAGGGGGGGGGGTGGTTGGTTCCTTCATTTCCTCTCTTAATTTGTTTAAAATATTCAATAAATTTTTTAATTTAGCACCCATCCGCCTAGTATGAGGTTCAGACATTCACATGGGCATACAGGTATCATCGGTTGATACATCATAGCATTTATAAATTTTATGGGAATGAGACCCCGCATGCTAGCCAATCAGTGTGGTCTTTAGAAATCGTGATGTCATTTTGAACAGAAATGTGGACTAAGCTGTGGATTGGTCAATTTGGATGCTGTGTTTTTGTAATACGGGTCATGAAAAATCCGATAGAAGGCGTACGCTGAATGGTCAGAATCTTGAGGTCAAGATACAGTCTAATTTGCATAATTAATGCTCGCATAATTAATGCTCGCATATCATGCATATCATAAACCTTTGCTGTGCAAGGGGGATCTTTTTTAATAGAATACCCCCCCCCCCCCCCCTCACCATGGAATGAAGTCTGAAATAATAATACAGGAGTTAAAATCAGGGAAAAAGCAAAGGGATGGGACCACCGATCAGGAGGATTTAATTTTTTACTGTTAACCAACACCATTCAGTGCTGCAAGTACTGAAGTTTCTCCATCAACATGTATTAGAGTGCAAATTCAGGAATTGACAACTTTAACAAGTTGACAGCATCGCCCGTATTTCAGCCTTGTTTAACAGGTGTTCTCCTTAGCGCGCTTGTTTCTTTCAAAATTGAGGTCAGCTTCTCTCAGCCCTAAACTTAGATAGGAACACGACTTCGCACACGACTTTGCGTTAAGCCTCTCCTTCCTGAAGTTCACATGATGGTGTTGAACGCCACACTGCTGAGTTACCTGCAAGACTATGATATGAATCCAATCAGCTGACTGGAAAAATCGGCCTGTTTTTACACGCTGCCCAATTAAGCATTAAAACCCTAACCCACCTCACTCCTCCAAAATCCTCCTGGCGGTTTTGGAGGATTCTAGAGGATTGAGGATGAATGGTGATTGAATCAAATGAGGATTCTGGAGGATTGAGGATGAATGGTGATTGAAGCACAAGAGGATTTTGGAGGATTGAGGATGAATGGTGATTGAAGCACAAGAGGATTTTGGAGGATTGAGGATGAATGCATTTTGAGGCAGGACTGTCTGATGATTTTTGAAGGATTTGGCGTTGGTTATCCTTCACTTAAACACGAGTGCAAAGTTTTGGGAGGAGGAGGATTTTGGAGGATTGAGGATGAATGCATTTTGAGGCAGGACTGTCTGACAATTTTGAAAAATTTAGGCGGAATTGCAAAATTTTGGAAAATTTTGGAGGATTTTGGAGGATTGAGGATGGTTGTAAGCAACAAGGGCCTAGGGGGTTAGGGTTAAGATCTTTCTTGAAGGTAGCTGTCTCAGACACACACTGATAAAATGTGTCTGCTTTTTTTTTTTTTTGGTTTGACAAATCATGTTTAGTCACAATACCACACCGCGCGCTGTTAAGTATACAGATTTACATGTGTGACAAATGGTTTATTTTTAGCCCTGTAGACCATGCATATGTACATACAGGGTGTGTCAAAAAAAGTATATACTTACAGAAATGTATCAAAAAAGGACGTTTTATAATTTTTCAAAAATCTGTCGTTAAGTATTGATGGACCAAGGTCGTATGCTTTAATTGCCACCATGTCATTCCTCAGCTGTAGGTACCGGTATTTATATTTCCACCTACCAGTATGGATACATTTGGTTTATATTTTGGGATTTGTGCATTTTTTTTAATGCCCTTCTCTGTCAAGGAATGAACACAAAATTAACATTTTGTAAAGCTGAACGGAAAGACTGCATGAGCTTGGTTAGTATTGGCCTACTATTAAGCTGTTGAAGTAAGCTTGAGGATAGCAGGGCGTGAATTTGGGCTCAACCTCACGGAAGCAAGTAATCGCTCCCTACAAAGCTAGTTTTGAGGGTAGACCTACGACAGCAAGTTTATCTTTTACCTAAATTTTTGTCACCTTAACAAATGATGGTAAATTGTTAAATACTGATTCTATAGTTCACAATAAATGGCTGTTAATCCTACACAATGTGAAAGAATCAAGAACTGGAGTTGGATGGCATGCTTGATTTAAATGTGGACGTTGCACGCGACAAATCTCGATGACAAATCCTTCCACTTTAACACTTTTTAAGGAAGTGCTGGAAATGACATTAAAGTTACATAAGTTCAGTCAACTTTAGACCATGGAGCGAGAAAAACTGTTGAAATGGTAAGAGTGAAAACGACATTGCGTCAGAAAAAATGCACATACTGTTGGCAAACTACAAACTTTTAATGTGACCTGCAAGGTCTGACTGACTACATTCCGTTAAGAAACTAAAATGAACACATTGTGTCAAAATCTGCAATTTTCTAAGAAAATCCGCATGGGTATCCATTTTCATGAGGTCATGAGGAACGTCAGGAAATTACAGGAATTAATCTATAAGCTGTGAGCAAGATTTGGGCCATTAAAACGAATACATCTTCAATACAATAAATTTAGTAACATGGAATTTGAGGTGAAGAGAGGAAAATTAATTACACACGTATAGGGTTTTTCCCATGTACATCTTCATTGACATATCTACGTTAGTTCGAGATAAAAGTCATTTAATTATGACAATTTATCACACCCATCAGGTTTCTAATCTCCAAATTAAATTTGATCTAAGCCGTTATCATTTTCATGAGATCAATGCAACATAGCCTTTATCAAGTACGTGTATTTGATTAGGCTTCTGTGCACTTCACAGAACAAATACATCAATGCCTGATATTATTTACTGACTGTATAATACAAATATGAGGTCTACATGCACATACACACACTTCACAAATTACTGTACAAGTTCAATGCTAACGACGTGTCTATTAGCATCAATCAATAACACAAGGCTATTATTATTAAACACGTATGCAACAGTCATGACCTTATTAAATAATCAGTAGGCACACCCACATTATGATAATGAATGTGAATTCTGATCAAGCCTGTTCGATATCCATTTATTATTAAATCGGCATATCATGAAAAAAATATCGGATATCGCGATATTATCGTGATGATGTCATTTTCTCATTCATGGAACAATGGAATAACAAAAAAATACCGAACAGGCTTAATTCTGATCAAACTGTGGCACACATTTGCATCATGATTCATGTTTACTCTTGATTAACAAATCCTCCTCTTGACTCAATTTTTTTTCTGAACATTTGAAAGCAAAAGAAACAGACAGAAATGTTCAATAATTTATACCAATTATGCAGGATAGTAATTTAAGATAAATTCCCCATGCTATTTTCGAGTTTCATCCCGAAAAAATAGTGCTAAATTGATATTTTTCTTTCTAGAAAGTTATTTACTTTTGAATCGGACATCAACTGAAAAAAAAATGGGCCCATGTTATTAAAATCAGAATTATTACTTTACAATTTCTGCCAGACAATAATTCCTGTTTTCGTGGGGTAGGCTGGTTCCCACTCCATAATCAGTATCGATAAATGTACCGACCGGGAGCCAGTCTGCTTGCAAAGCGGATCTTTTGTGACCAAAACAAAAACTGTTTGTTTCAGAGGGTTGCAGACGTCCAAAAAAAAGGGGAAAATGGAGATTTTGTTTGGAATAAAGCATACAAGTTGAACATTTAGTAATAGAAAACAAATTCGAATTTCACTAGGAACGCAACTTTAAAATGAATGTTTGGTGTAAAAATGGGAACCTGAAAGAAACAAAGATTCCAGTGAAATGGTGGAAAAAAATGTTAGGGTGATGTTAGGGGTTCAGTTGCAGCAAAAGCTACATAGAACAGACATTCTTGGCGTTTTTCTCCATGTTTGTTGCTGTAGAAGTTGAGGGAAAAAAATGCAAATTCACGGATAATCCCTGGCTCTAAGAACATCTTGAAGTTGAATCTTGTTGTTGGCCATGGCACAGCCAGACTTTGAAAAAAATGCAGAAAATGGATAAATATTGAGAAAAATAGAATGTTGGAGAAATTGTGACTCCTTTGTTGTGATATTGGAATTTTATTAAAATATTAATCATGCCTTCCCCCTATTTCAGAGATGATAGGGCTTGAATCAAGTGACTTACATGTACTGTAAAAATTTTTTTTAACTGTAACGTTAGTTATACTGATTTACATCACCCCGACGCAAAAATTCCATCTTTTCAATAGTTTAATTGCGGTACCCGCTGCTACATGTATACACATTAGATTTAATTAAACCAGTCAACTGATCCTGCAAGCTTGGTGGTTGAGTTAAAGACTGCACTAGAAAGCAGGAGGTCGTGGGTTCGAGTCTCACCCGAGTGATTTTATCCAACTTTCACTCGGGAGGTAACACACTGAGCATACAGTGTTTACCTCGGTGAAGGGCAAAACCTAATACTGATTTATATCACCCCGACACAAAAATTCCATCTTATCAACGTTAGTGTTAGTTTTCAGTCCATATTACTTCAAGCTGTGCAGGCCTTCCATAGCTGTACAGTTTTACATGCATAGCACTCGATCACTGACATGAATGTCAGATGGCAATGATCTTGATTCTTCTTTTTGATTTTTGAAATTTCTTCCCATGCTTGTCATGCTTGTCCACGCAACATGCTCAAATAAATTCATGTTTCATATAATCATATATAAATCACCAACACAATGTTCATGCAATTGGTAGTAACAAAATATTTCTTTCCAATAATTTTTCAATTTTTTTTTAATCAGGTAGGAATGTTCAAGTCAAATACTCATTCCAATTATGCTTTTGGGAAAAATTCCATTTGGACATGGCTAATTTTTACCTGCAGTGACCTTCTCAGAAAGTGATAACATGTCAAATTTAGCAGGGAATACATTGAAGCATTTACAGAGAAAACACAGAATTTTTCAGACCTGTCTCATAGGGTTTGTGCACAGCGTGTCAAGTGATGTCGAACTCTTTCCATGTTTTCGGTAATCATGTAGCTTAGGACCCGTCCCCGTTCCATGGAGAACGAAGACACTTTTATGTTTTGGGACTAGTAATACAATAGTACCTTTACATTTGGCTACGAAATCATCTTAATAGTTTGCTAAGTAAGATACCAGGTTCAAATCAATATCACTCAGTAAGCTCAATTTTGTGGAAAGAGGGCAGAGTTATGATTTAAATGCAAGGAAATTATGAGGGAAATTGTGGGGTAAAACAATGACGAAGACAACCTGCATGACCCAAGAAGAAAACAACAAGTCTCTGATTGCAAAAAAAGGGAAGAAAGCCACATTTTCTTCAAAAGTATGTTCACTAAAATTACAAAAAAAAAAATGAGACATGATGAGTTCATCTGGTGAAAAAAAAAACTGCTTGAGCCTTTTGAGCCTGCAAAATTCACTTAGGAATTGACTGTCATTTGCACAAGTCATTTTCTAACGGAACTTGTAAAAAATGGAGGTGTCCTAAACTACACGACTACCATGTTTTCAGTTACTATGGAGGGAATTAATGAAGCGAGACCAACAAAAATTACTAAGGCAACAGGTTTGATGGAACGTCCATTCATTTACTGTGCAAAACGACAACGAACCTGACAACGCGAACGGGCAATGCATTGACGGCCGGGGGACGAAATTCAACGTTCAACCGTTTGTAGCTGAGAAGTGAAAGTGGTGTTCAAATCAAACTAAAATACGAACAGAATATGGCTTCAATCTTCAGAAATACTGGTGCATTACTTACAGTTTTAGTGGGCTGCCATGTACAATTTCATACGCAGGAAAATCAGCCCGAAATTAAAAGCAGAAATATTTGAAACCATTCATCGGTAGCGTCATTGTTGATACTACCTGACCCCAAAGCCGCCAGAGGTCACGGTAATGCATAATCAATGAGCTAACTCACGATTCTGATTGGCTGAACGGTTATTGATGAACGAAAGTAGATGGAAACTTGCAATTTTTACATCATTTAATTGATAATGTTGTCCACTAAAGTCCACATACTTGATATTACATGCACATTATCGCTATCACAGTAACCCTGTGTTATATAATATCTGAAACTGGAACATTTAGTGACTAACTTTTTATCACCAACTACACGTTCTAAAATTGCCAACACCCACAGGTGTGCGCTTTTTCATTGGCCAGCAGCTGCAGTCATCATCATGTTCACTTTCCTTTTTTTCGTTCAATATAAATAGAAATAGGCCACATCTTTTTTATTTTAGTGTTAATACCAACAAATTCACAACAAACGGGTTTTCTTTTGTTGGGGAAAAAAAGATCAATAAGCTAATCAAAATTACAAACGGGCCTGCATTGTAAAAATGAAGGGCGGGGCCGAGCAAATTATTATGACTCATACTCTAGCTCTACGAAATCAACCTCATTTCTTTTCTTGATTAACAGCGTCGATTAGCATTCAAATGGTTAGGTTTTATTTCAGTCCAACAGATGGGAAAATTAGAAAGCTTGCCAACAGAGGGCAGCAGATAAGTAGGCATTCAGCTCAGAAATGGCTTGGGGCAGATCGTATCTTGAAAGTGGTGCTTGATATTGATGCGGGGATCCGCACTGGCTATTATGCATCTGCTGCAATAAAACAAAAAGATAAACAAGTCTCTCTTTCTTGTTTTAAGAAATTAAACAAGTGATCACAACGTTAAAAGGACTCGAAGGGGAGGGTTGACCGATAGAATGTGGGTAATTTACAAATGAAAATTATGTCTTTACAGCACTGTGATGTGGTCCAAATGAGATCGAGAGCGCCCCCATAGGCCCAGCCTGCGATGAAACGAAACAAGCCATACAGCGTGGTCCAAAAAACAACGTATACACTTTTTGAGACGCAGATTTATTGGAATTGGGAGACATGTTAAAATTGTTTCAAGATATTCGTAAACTGCAGCATCTTCGTGGTAAATGGTGAAAACGACTCTGAAAATAAAGCCTAAATTAAGAAATGGCGATGGATGGTCAAACACCGTCCACACGCAAGTCTATGAGATATGGTCAATTCAACACACTAGCACTGCACGCACAAAGAACTGCAATAATTGCAATTAGGTCTACATGACTGCCATAGACGCGCACAAACTAGTTTTGGACCATTTTGTTATTTTGTAAATGGCTGCTATTTCCTAACTTGAGCTTTATTTTCAACGCCGTTTTCACCACATACCACCGTGGTCTTGTAGTTTAGAATGACATTAAAACAATTTTAACATGTCTTCAATTTTGAGAAATCTGCCTCTGAAAAAGAGGAACCTTTTAGTGACCACCCTATAATTGTACACTGATATATTCCTGCACTATAGGCCTACACTTTTTTGTAAGATCGTGTCACTTAATTTGCAGAGTTTCTTTTGCTTCGTCTTAAAGGGAATGTACATCATTGGCTTTTGCTGTAATTTTTCAGAAATGAACTATTTGAGGGTAAATATTGTTACACTGACATGTTTGAAGTTTTGTTTTGGAAATGCTGAAAAACCAAGAAAAACACAAATGGTGGAGTAGTCTGGTTCCCTGACTCCACTAAAGATAAAATGGATCAATTTATAGATGCCGGAAAATTGTAAGGTAAATGAACCAGTCTACCTGGCCTGCACCCGTTCATAAACATGTAACCAATAGCAAACAAAATTTGGACTGAAAAAATGGTGAATTTGGAGGAGAAGTTGAAAAAAAATTAGGTTTTTCCAACGGTGGTCGGCCGACCACCGTTGGAAATTTATACAAAAATACCATTTTCTTGAAAATGACTTCACACCAGGTGCCATAATTTTACAGGATGCTTTAGACTGTCATTTACCAACATCCTAGTAAGGTTTTTCGTAAAAACTTGGTAGTTCTATTTTTCGATGTTTGCAAATGTTGTATATTCCCTTTAAAGGGCCTATGAAATGTAATTTTTATAGTGGAATCCTTGAAAATGCACCTTTGTGTCCCATCTTTTTGCTTTTTATGCTAATGACAATTCCATATTCATGAGCAAAGGTGTCATGTCATTTTCAGGCAGAAACCTCCATGTTAAATGCCGCAGCTATTTCAGCACCAACAATTTCCAGAATTTTGGAAATTTGTAAATTTTCGTTTCTTCAGTTATTCGTAGTTGTGTCAGTATACATGGCATGCCGGCAGTAAGCCAATGAACGATATTTTCTGACAAAATTAATCAATGATTTCAATGAACACATTTTTGGGTTCACAATTTGAATAGAAAACACCGAACCGAACGGTGTCTTCCTGAAATGACATCACAGCAACAGCGCCCTCAGTTGTCCGGAAAAGCATGGAGAATTTTAAATGTTTGAAGAAGTGCACGCTAAAAAGGGATGTCAAATAGTTTTCATATAGTTGAGAGGAGTAGAAAGTTGCACAAAAAATGTTTCTAAAAACATATTCACTGAGGCCCTTTGAATGAGCCAGTTTGTAAGGAAAAATTCCACACGATCGATTCAGAACACCTGCTTTTGAATTCCTCAGTGATCCGGTCTTCCGAAATCACCGCGGACTGACCTTTAACTGACCAAAAGGCCGGATTGACGCTAACCCACCCCCACAGCGAGTTAGGAAGGGATCACACGCCCCCTTCCCTTGAGCCTCAACTGAGTATAAAGTCACGCGGTATCGTGTACCCCCGATGCTTCATATTCCAATTATCGTCTTGAGACTATCCGATCTATCCCAGGCTAAACGTTTACTTGTGATCAGGATCAAACGACAAAATGTTAGTAATTATGTACATGTAGTTTACAGTGGCGTTATTGCATTGGGTCCAAATCGCACGGGAGGTGGGGGGAGGGGCATTTTCCGGAGGGGGGGGGGGCTCAATGGGGTTTTAACAATAAAAAGTAGATCTTTCGCCTTTTCCCAATTCTTTGAGGGGGAGGGGTACCCCCTGGCACCATAGCTATTGCCACTGGTTTTTGTAAAAAAAAAAAGTTTGTTGACTGAACACACTTTCAATACGCCTACCTTTTACCTTGAGATAAAGGGGAAAGTGGTCGCAATAATTAACAGAACAGAAAACTGATCACGCTTACAAAATGAACTCTTTACAGTCACGAAATGATTTTTTGGGGGGGTTTTAGCAGGGGGAATATAATTACTGTCTTCGCTTGGAATGACCTTCATGTGCTTATACGTTTCACCAAAATGACTCGCTCCAACAAATTGGCAATTTCGCAGCGAAATGGGTTTTCAGCCTATACCATTATGTTGACCGTCAGTAATTGAAAGGGCGCAAGAGAGTTTAAACAGCGTTATCAAAATCGACTCGATCGAAAACGCTGTACCGTGCAGTCAACGTGTGTAACGTAACATATCCATTATTTAGCTCGCCGTCTATTATACCTGAAATTAGTCCCTTCAAACATACAAACTACTCCCCAATGAGTATTTACAAAAAAAGGACGAAATTGGTAAATAGCTCTGCTTTTCCCTTATAGTACAGCTACACGTGTGGACGAGTGAGACAAGCAATTAAGTGATATTGATGCAAATCGAGCAACGAGCGGGGAATTATTTTTAACGATCTGGTAATCAACATAAAAATTGTCGTAAATATTGAATGTTCTGGAAAATAAAAGTGCAACGGGTGATTTTGGGAGTTCCTTCGAGAGTAGGAAACAAAGCCTCTTTACGGTATAATTTCCTCTTGGTCTTGTTGGGTGATGGGGCTGCTGTGCCCATCACCCTGGTTTTGTTTATGGTTTTGTCAAAATTATGGTCAAAAATCTCTACTTATAACAACCCCTTCCGTCTAACCAATGTTATCGATATTGTTTAATATTTAAACGCACTGGAATAAGTTCTTGAGCTAGGGTACGATCCCAGCCAAACACTTATTGGAGGGGAGTCTCCCCCCCCCCTCCCCCAACTCCCCGCCCCCTCTCCCGAGGTTGCCACCATGTAATTAGTTTAATTGTAATGGAGTCAGGTTGACGTAGCGGTACTTTCCCCGCCTTCCACCGCTGTGACCCGGGTTCGATTCCTACCTAGGCCAATATAATGGATAGAGTTTTCACTCCCTATACGTTTTTTCTGTGAGTTCCTCGCAATCATTATTCTGGGGCTTTTCTCCCACATCTTCGCACTGTCTTCTCTTTACTGGGCCCCTTGGGAGACCAGTGGATTCCACTGAAGGGGCACACTCTAAAAAAGCATTAGTCAGATTTGACTAGAAACCAGTCAAATTTGACTAGCCATTCAGGGTCAGCTGGGTGCAACTGAAAATCAGTCAATCTGACTAGATTTTTCCAGTCAGTATTATTGACTTTGGAAAAATAGTTATGCAAGAAACTGAAATTGGAGTCGAACCCAACTACTTTTTCCAGTCAAAATATGAAGCTTTGCATGTTTAACTAAATTCCTAGTAAATTTTCAATAACTAGGAAAACCAGTCAATATTTTGACTAAGTTGTTTTTAGAGTGCACTGTTATTTCGGTTGTGTACTATATGAACCTAGCAACCAGTTGTGTAAAAAAATTGAACAAGTTGTGTAATATTTTACACAAGTTGTGTAAACAACGGTTTACACAACAGGTAATTGCTAGGTTCATATAGTACACAACCGTTTGATTTTTGCACAACCGAAATAACAGTGGGCTATCCAGTTAAAAAAGAAAAAAAATAAGAAGAAAATAAGATATAATATTGCTCAGACGTATTTTGATAAAACCTCAGTCTGAAATGAAAGCATATTGGCAATGTGATGACGTAGGCCCTTCAAGACTTGTGTCCGTTAACATATTACTTCATTAATTAAATCCCATAGCGAAAACATTATTTAATGCTCATAATGAGCAGAGATTGAGAGGGTGCTTTAATGTGCCACTTCACTGATTAAGCAGCGT